AGTTTGAGGTTGCTGTGAGCTATAATGATGCCACTGCATTCTAGCCTGGGTGATGGAGCAAGACTCTATCTCAAAAAAAAAAAAAAAAAAAAAAGAGAAAAAAGTAAAGCAGGAAAGGGGTAAATAAAAACCAGAGGGAAAGAATACACATAACTAAATTTCTCTATCTTTAACAGATATCATTAAAAAGTCTCCAAATGTTTCAAACAAAACCAATTTTAATTTACTAGAATTGTTTAAATAAACATATAATAATATCTACCATTTCTTGAGAGATTAACATATACTGAATGCCTTACACATATTATTTCATTAAATTCTGGGAACCTTCATTTTACAAAAGGAAGTTAGAGGATTAGAAAAATTATAACCCACCAAGTCAATAGCCATTAAAGAAGCAGATGTGAGAGGTGAATTTATGTCAGCATGACTTCTTAGCAGCTGCATGATATTGCTCATCTTATGTTAGATCCAAGTTAATAACAAAACAGAGAGGATATAGTAAGATAATATAAAGGATAATATGTCAAAACTCCCTGCAGTCTGAGAATTACTGATCTACAATGTATAAGAGATATTAGTTAGGAATCAGATAATCCAAAAATAACTATAAATGGCTTTGGTTCTCCTCTCCCCCAGTCCAATTCCATCCTATGAACCAGAACTTGACTTGATTAATTTTCCTAAATTAGGATATTTTACATGTCACTGTTCTGCTCAAATCCTTTAGTGGTTTCCTACTATTTATATTGGGTAGGTAACCTCTTCTATAAAGGCCAGACAGTAAATATGTTTGACTGTGTGGGGCTTATGATCTCTGTTCCAACTACTCTGGCACAAAAGCAGCCACAGATACTACGTAAATGAACATGTGTGGCTATATTCCAATAAAACTTTATTTATGGACACTAAAATTTGAATTTCACATAATTTTCCTCTGCCACAAATTCTTCTTCTTCTTTTAATTTTTTTTTTTTAACCATTTAACAATGTAAAAACCATTCTTAGTTCACAGACCATACAAAAACACGTGGCAGGTTGATTTGGCCCACAGGCTATAGTTTGCTAACTTTGACTTAGACCATTTAGTATTTGCCCAGAGCTTGAAAGAAGTAGTCAGCCAAAATGAGACAGTCAGTGAAATATGTCCTCTTTTTAAAAAAATGAGTCATTCATTCACCATCTCAGGAAGATAAGAAATATATGGGGAGAGGTAAGGGGAGTAAGAGGACCTACTGATTATCCTGACTGAATCTCAGGGAAGGAAGAGGTGGTTTGCTGGAGCTGAAGATACTATGACCTTTTTTGACCTTCTTTGAATGAAGAACTTATTCAACCCTATTTGGATTCCTAAGTACTATCAGCCTCTTAGGAGCTTTATACAAATTAAGAAAATCTTACATATTTTGACCCAATTTGAACTTTACAACTAGAGATAACTTAAAGGAAAACAATGTATTTCTATCTTTTCCTTTTGCAGAAAGGATCTGAAGTATTAATGGCTTATAAAAATAAACAAATAGGCTGGTTATCTCAATTGACTATTCATAGTCATTCATAGATCAAACTCCTTGTTCTACTCTTTCCCCCCTTTTCACTACTGCATTTGACTAGTCTTAAAAACAAACAAAAAACACATATAAAAATCATGTAAACTAACATCAAACATTGAATTGGCTATATATATGAATTAGGAAGGAAGAAATAAAATAATTATTATTTGCAGATAACATGATACATATATAGAAAATCCAAAAGAATTTATTAATATAAAGGAACTATCGGAATCAATAGTGAATTTAACTAGAAAGCTGGACACAAAGTCAAAAGTCAATTATATTTCCATATACTTGTAATAAACAAATAGAAAATGAACTTTGAATAACAATACTATCTATGAGAGTATCAGAAAACATCAAATACCTAGAAATAAATCTAAGAGACATGTAAGACCTCTAAATTGAAAATCATAATAACTTATGTAATAAATTAAACAAAATCCAGATAAATGGAAGGATGTATCATGTTCATAGATGGGAAGACTTAATATTATAAAGATATAAATTATTTCCAAACAGACCTTCAAATTCAGTGCAATCTCAGTCAAAAATCACAACAGGTTATCTTGCGAAGTTTAGAGAATTAATTCTAAAATTTATATGGAAATGCAAAGATCCAAGCATACCCAGGACAATGTTGAAGAACAAAACTGAAGGATTTACTCTACCAGATGTCTAGACCTACTAAAAAGCTACTGTAATTAAGACATTATGGTAGTAACATAAAAAGAGACACAGAAACAGAACAGAGTCCACACTCTAGACCCATCCATATATAGTCACCTGATATCACAAAGGAAATACTGCAGTGCAGTGGGGAAACAATGGTTCTTTTGATAAGTGGTGCTGGGTCAGTTGGATGTCCATATGGGAGAAAAAATGTACCTTGACCCCTACCTCATACCGTACACAAAAATCAATTCCAAATGAATTGCAGATCTAACTGTGAAAGGTAAAACAATAAAAATTTTAGAAAAACACATAGAATGTCTTCCAGACCTTGGAATGGGCAAACACTTCTCAACACAAAAAGCGCTAAGCATAAAAGAGAAACACATGCATAAATTGATAAGTTGATTACATTAAGATTAAGAACCTCTGTTCACCTAAAGATGATATTAAGAAAGTGAAATATTAGGAACATTAGAGTGATAGAAGATGTTTGTGATGTATATGTGTATATGTATGTATTATAAACACACATAATAAAAGAGTCATATATAAAAGACTCAGATCATATAATATACTTTAAAAATTAATAAGAATTGATAATTACAAGAAAGACAGTGAACCTGGTAGAAAAATGGGAAAAGGACTCAAATAGGTACTTACAAAGGAAAATATATAAATGGCCAATAAACATATAAAAAGGCACATAACTTTATGAGTCATCAGGGAAATGTAAATTAAAACCATAATGTGATACTACTACATAACTACCAGAATGGCTCAAATGAAAACAACAAATAATATCAAGTGTTGGTGAGGATATAGAGCAACAGGAACTCTCATACGCTTCGGATGAGAATATAAATTGCAACAAACACTTTGGAAAACTCTTTGGCGATAACTGCCAAAGCTAAACATTTGTATAAATTGCAACCTAAGAATTTCCCTCCTAGGTATACACTCAGTAGAAATGTGTACGTGTGTTCACCAAAATATATGTGCTAGAATCTTCATAGCAGCACTATTTGTAATAGTCCCAAACTGGAAACTATCCAAATGCCCATCAACAGTAGAATGAATAATGCTACAGCCATACAGGGACTATCATACACAACAACAAACAAACTACAACTACATGCAACAATATAAATGAATTTCATAAACAAATACTGAACACAAGAAGCCCAGATGCAAAAGAGTAAATACCACCTGATTCCATTTATAAAAAATTCAATAATGCATGATGTAAGAAGTCAGGACAGTGGTTAACCTTCAGGAAAAAGTACTAGCAGAGGGCATGAAGGAAGCACTGGGAGGCTTGTCATGTTCTGTTTGTTGACCTAGGTGCTGGTCGCGCTTTGTAAAAATTCATTAGGCTATGTATTTATGATATCTGCTGTACATTATGGTTCCAAGAAATTGGGACAGATAGAAAATAAGGGTGGAAAGATAGATGAAGAGCGAAGTTAGTATATAAAAATAAAAATTTATGCTTAAGGTATGTGGCAGGAGTGGGGCACAAATGTGTCTTTGAGTTTCCTTGCAGCCGAGGCAAACAGGACAATGCAATATGTTAAATGATTCAGTGTCCATTAGATAAAAACAAGCTAATTGTGCTTAGGAAGATCAAAATTATTCTCAGAACTAAGATCCAAGAGAAATTTCTCTTGAGGGTTCTCAGAATAAGATGTTGTATAACACAGTGACACAACATATGTCCTCAACCACATCCTTGCAAGTAGAGGCCACAGTGACTGATACAATGACCTTCTCCATAGAGTGATGTCATAAAACCAAAGCACAATTCAGAGAGTAACTGGAGTCAAGGAGTACAATGGGGAAGACAAAACACTGTAGTTGTGCCACTGTGAATATTTGGAGAGATGGAGAGGAACAAATACATGGTCTACATATCCTCCAGGCTATCTCCCATAGTGTTTCTCTAAACCAAGCTTTTGATAGGTATTGCTTGGTAGTGAGTTCAAGGTCTCTCTAAGACAGTCTGGCTATTGTATATTGTCAATAAAACAGTGGAAGAGAGCAAACAGGAGGAGATACAGCTATTCATTGGAACACTCAGTGGAACTGGGGGGTTGGGCTGAGTCTCTGAAAGGTTATTGGTGAAAGTTACTTCATGTATCTACTTCTCCTTTCTTCATGACTTTATTTTCTTCCTCCACCAAGAGGAATAATATGCAGAATAACTACTATATTACTATTCATGTCTCTTTCATGAATAAAGATCTGTTTTTTCCCTATACATGTTTTAAGCAAGATATTCTATAATCCAACCTTCAAACTCACACTAGCCGTATCTTCCTAAAATATAGATCAGACACTGTAGCTACTCTCCTCAGCAATTTTCAGTGGCTCTCCACAGCCTACTGGCTAAACTTCAAAATTATTAGCATGAATGCCTAACCCTGCCTTTCCAGTCTCATCTCTCATCTCTCCCTACACACCCTATGTTCCCAACCACACCTCTCGGCTCAATGTTTTCTAAACATGCCATATAGTCTCAGACCTCCTCTTGCCTTTATTTATGTTGGTCAGACCTGATATTTTCTCACAAGGAAAGAAGAAATCAGGTGTCCAAAGTTTTCAGCAATGTCCCCTTGTATATCACTTCACTACTTCTGTGGCAGGATCATCTAACTGATTTTATATGATTCCTGCCTCCTATAAACTCACTCTCAGCTTCCATGTCATAGGACGGAGGCCTAAATGAAAACATCCCTTTGAACATGTGCATGAACCTGGTGAATCACTTACCCTACAATATGGCTCCTTCTTTTTTATATCTTCCTGCTGGATCAGCCTCAGGCCCTGGACACCATTCTGCAGGCCTCTCTCATATAAGGCCTGAAGTCTGGGAATTTCTTCTTGTTCAACAGCTACTATAAGCTTCAGAAAATAAAAACGATAAAGCACATGGATAGAGTTAAACATTCCATCAGGTATGAAAGATAGAGTCAATGGAAAAGCATAAATTATCGTATAACTCAAACAGGGCTGATTTAGAAAAAAATTTTTTCTTCATGTATCATCTACTTCTCCCTTTCTTTCCTCTCTCCATAACTTTATTTTCTTCCTCTACCAAGAAAAGTTGTTTTAAGAAAATGGCAGTAAAACAAATTTTCCCTGAAGGTGAAACATAGCCTCAATCGCTACTTGTTATTACAGTCATGTACCTTGGCCAATTTATGTACCAATATTATGTACCTTGGCCAAACACAACTCTTATCACTAACACTCCTTCAGTCCCAGAGGGGAGAGAAGCACAGGTTGCTCAGTCTTTACATTTCTTTTTTCCAAAAGGGAATGGCCTTATTTCTGTGAGAAAATAAGAAGTATCAGTACATCAAAATGACAGCTGGTATTCATTGTAATGGAATATTACTGACAAAACTATCCCTTTTATTTCCTGGAATAAATTTCAAACTATTTACTAATGCATTCTATTATAGATGGAAAAAAACCACTATATTCATCAACTTTACTCACAACTTTTTTTCTATTACTCTGGGCAAAGTATCTGTTTGAAGTAGAGTTTCTTCCTTCCTCACTAGTCACCAGCAAAGGAAAGTAGGTGCATTAGAATTCACAAATCATTATTTCAGACCAACAAGTCAACAGAATTTCATGAGGTAATACTTTTAATTAAGGTGCAAAGACTATTTAAATTAATAATTAATCTTAAAAACAAATGAAATCAAAGGACACATTCAAGAAAAGTAAAAAGACAACCCACAGAATGGGAAAAATATTTGCAAATCATATAGCTGGTAAAGGTCTAGTATCCAGAATATATCAAGAACTCTTACAACTCAAAAATAAAATCTGTAAATACAGTTTTATATTTTGCTTTTTTCACTTAACATTCTGTCAGGACCATTTTACTATATTACCAAAAAATTTTTCTCATAGCATATTTAATGGTGACCGTGAGCTTTTTTTCTTAAAAATATCATGAAGACAGGCCGGGTGCAGTGGCTCACGCCTGTAATCCTAGCACTCTGGGAGGCTGAGGCAGGCAGATTGCTCGAGGTCAGGAGTTCGAAACCAGCCTGAGAAAGAGCAAGACCCCATCTCTACTATAAATAGAAAAAAATTAATTGGCCAACTAATATATATAGAAAAAAAATTAGCCAGGCATGGTGGTGCATGCCTGTAGTACCAGCTACTTGGGAGGCTGAGGCAGGAGGATTGCTTGAGCCCAGGAGTTTGAGGTTGTTGTGAGCTAGGCTGACGCCACAGCACTCACTCTAGCTGGGCAACCAAGCAAGACTCTGTCTCAAAAAAAAAAAAAATATCATGAAGATGGTTAGTCATGTGCAGTGACACACACCTCTAGTCCTATCTACTTGGGAGGCTGAGGCAGGATGGTTTGAGTCAAGGAGTTTGAGGCTGCAGTGAGCTATGATGATGCCACTGCACTCCAGCCTGGGCAATAGAGAGAGACTCTGTCTCTAAAGAAAAAAAAAAAAAAAAAAAAAAATATATATATATATATATATATGAAAAAAAGGACATTACCAACTTTACAGAAGTAAAAAGACCTACAAAGAAATACTATGAACAACTGTATGCCAACAAATTAAAAAACCTAGGTGAGATAAATAAATTCTTAGAAAGATACAAACTTCTGAAACTGATTCAAGAAGAAAAAGAAAATGTGAATAGACCCATGACACGTAAAGAGATTGAAAACTCGCAAGATCCACACCTTTCACCTCTCACAAGATCAACTCACCCTGGGTAACAGACTTAAACTTAAGGTATGAAACTAATAGAATTCTAGAGGAAAACGTTGGAAATACTCTTCTAGACATTGGCCTAGGCAAAGAATTTATGAAGAAGACCCGAAAGGCTATCACAGCAACAACAAAAATAAATTAATGGGACCTGATCAAACCAAAAAGCTTCTGCACAGCCAAAGAAACAGTCATGAGAGCAAACAGACAACCTACAGAATGGGAGAAAATTTTCGCATGCTACACATCCGATAAGGTGCTGATAACTAGAATCTATTTAGAATGCAGGAATATCAGCAAGAAAAAAATCAAACAAAACTCTATCAAAAAGTGGGCAAAGGACATGAACAGAAACTTTTCAAAAGAAGACAGAATAATGGCCAACAAACATATGAAAAAATGCTCAACATCTCTAATCATCAGGGAAATGCAATTAAAACTGCAATGAGACATTAGTTATCTCCAGTAAGAATGGGCTTTACCAAAAAGACCCAAAACAATAAATGTTGGCATGGATGTGGAGAGATAGGAACACTCCTACACTGCTGGTGGGACTGCAAACTAGTGCAACCTCTGTGGAAAGCAATATGGAGATACCTTAAAGCGATACAAGTAGATCTACCATTTGATCCAGCAATCCCACCACTGGGCATCTACCCAAAAGAATAAAAGTCACTCTATAAAAAAGATACCTGCACTTGAATGTTTATAGCAGCACAATTCACAATTGCAAAGTTGTAGTAGAAACAGCCCAAGTGCCCATCAATACATGAGTGGATTAATAAGATGTGTTACATGTATACCATGGAGTACTATTCAGCTATAAGAAACAATGGTGATATAGCACCTCTTGTTTTTTCCTGGATAGAGCTGGAACCCATTCTACTAAGTATCCCAAGAATGGAAAAACCAGCACCACATGTACTCACCAGCAAATTGGTTTCACTGATCAACACCTAAGTGGACACATAGGAATAACATTTATTGGGTGTCAAGCAGATGGGAGGGGGGAGGGGATGGGTATATACATACATAATGAATGTGATGAGCACCGTCTGGGGGATGGTCACGCTTGAAGCTCTGACTCGAGGGGGGAGGGAGGGCAAGGGCAATATACATATAAACTTAACATTTGTATCCCCATAATATGCTGAAATTAAAAAAAAATTAATACCAATTCTTTTATTTTTTTATTTTTTTTGAGACAGAGTCTCACTTTGTTGCCCAGGCTAGAGTGAGTGCCATGGCATCGGCCTGGCTCACAGCAACCTCAAACTCCTGGGCTCAAGCGATCCTTCTGCCTCAACCTCCCAAGTAGCTGGGACTAAAGGCATGTGCCATCATGCCCGGCTAATTTTTTCTATATATATTAGTTGGCCAATTAATTTCTATTTATAGTAGAGATGAGGTCTCGCTCTTGCTCAGGTTGGTTTCAAACTCCTGAGCTCAAACAATCCGCCCGCCTCGGCCTCCCAGAGAGCTAGGATTACAGGCGTGAGCCACCGCGCCCGGCCTTAAAAAAAAAATTAATACCAATTCTTCATAAACTTTTCCAAAAAACAAGGCAAAGAAACACTTCCAAACTAATTCTGTGAGACCAATATTAGCTTGATACCAAAACCAGACATCACAAGAAATTACACATCAATATCCCTTACAAATATTGATGCAAAAACTCTAAACAAAATACTAAGAAACTGAATGCAGCAACATAAAAAAGGATTATACACCATGACCAAATGGGATTTATCCTAGAAATGCAAGATCAATTTAACATCCAAGTCAATTAATGTAATAGACTATATTAACAAAGAACAAAAACCACATTATTACCTCAAGAGAGGCAGAAAGAGTATCTGAGAAAATCCAACACTTTCATAATAAAAACACTCTACAAACTAGGAATAGAAAGGAACTTTCTCAACCTGATAAAGGGAATCTACAAAAAACCCACATCTAACATCATACTTAAGGGTAAAAGATTGAATGCTTTCTTCATTAGATCAAGAACAACATAAGAATGTCCACCTTTACTACTTCTATTCAACACTGTATTGGAAGTTCCACCTACAGAAATTAGGCAAGCAAAATGAATAAATAAAAGGCATCTAAATTGGAAAAGAAGTAAAACTAATTTATTTGCAGATGACATGATCCTGCATATAGAAAAGTCTAAGGAATACACACACACACACACACACACACAGAACTAATAAATGAGTTCAGCAAGGTTGCAGGATAAAAAAATAGTATACAAAAATCAATCATATTCTATACATTAGCAATGAATAATTAAAAATGAAATTAAGAAAACAATTGCCCTCACAAAAGCATCACAAAAAATAAAATACTGAGAAATAAATTTAACAAAAGTAGTACAAGATTAAGCAGACATGGTGGCTCATGCCTGTAGTCCCAGCTACTAGGGAGGCTGAGATGGGAGCATCACTTGAGGCCAGGAGTTCGAGTCTAGCCTGGGCTATGTAGAGAAGACCTCATCTCTGAAACAACCAAAAACAGTAACTGAAAATCACAAAACATTGCTGAAAGAAATTAAAGAAAATCTAAATAAATGGAAATAAATCCTATCTTCCTGGACTGCAAAATTTAATATTGTTAAGATATCAATATTACCCAAATTAACTTATAGATTCAACACAATTGCTATTAAAAACTCCAGCTGCCTTTTTGGAGAAATTAACAAGTTGCCCCCAAAATTCATTTGGAAATGCTAGGGTACCAGAATAATCAAAAAAAACTTGAAAAAGAAGAACTGTTTAGTCTGTCATAGGATTAAGGGGGTGGAAAAAACTAAAAAAAAGAAAAAAGAAAAAAAAATTAGAGGACTCACACTTTCTGTACTGGCATAAAGATAGACATATACATTAATGGGATAGAATTGAGAATTCATAAATATTTATGCTTAACTGATTTTTTAAAAGAGTGCCAAAATAATTAATGTAGAAAGTATAGTCTTTCCAACAAATGATGCCAAAACAACTAGATATCCACATGCAAAAGAATGAAGTTGGACCCTTTCCTCACAATATACAGCAAAATTAATTAAAAAGTGATCATAGATCTAAACGTATTATAAGAAGTAAGGCTACAAAACTTTTAGAAGAAAACTTTGGAGGAAATTCTTACAATGCAGTGTTAGGCAATGATTTCTTAGATATGATACTAAAAGCACGAGCAACAAAAGACAAAAGATACATTGGACTTCATCAAAATTAAAAACTTTAGTGCTTCAAAGGATCCCATCAATAAAGCAAAAAAGAAAACCTACAGAATGGCATAAAATATTTCAAATCACATACCTGCTATACTGTATCCAGAATATATAAAAACACATACAACTCAACAATAAGAAGACAAATAATGCAATCTTAAAATGGGTAAAAGATTTGAATAGCCAGTTCCCCAAAGAAACTACATAAATGGCCAGCCAATAAGCACATGAAAAGATCCTCAACATAGATCCAGCAATCTCACTACTGGGTATATATCCAAAGAAAATAAAATCAATATGTTAAGGAGATATGGGAATTCCTATATTTACTGCAGCATTATTTACAATAGCCAAGTGTCCACCAATGGATAAACAGGTAATGAAAATGTGGCAAATATACATGATAAAATACTATTAAGTTAAAAAGAAGAAAATCCTGTCATTTACAATAACATGGATGAAACTGGAGGACATTATGTGAAATGAAATAAGCCAGGCACAATAAGATAAATGGCACATGATCTCATTTATATGTAGAATCTAAAACAGTTGAACACATAGAAGTAGAATAGAACAGTGGTTACCAGGAGCTAGGGGTAGGGGAAGGGGTAGGTAGATGGTCAAAGGAAACAAAATTTCAGTTAAATAGGAGGGATAAATTCAGGAATCTATTACACAAAATGATGACTACAGTTAATAACAATATATTGTATTTGTGAAGATTGCTAAGAGACTTTTTTAAGTGTTCTTATCGTTAAAAAAAAGTTAAGTACATGAGGTAATGCATGCTGGTTAGCTAGATTTAGCTATTCCATGCATACACACATTTCAAAACAACATGTTGTACATGATAAATACATACGATTTTTGTCAAAAAATAATTTTTAATAAGGAAAAAATAGAAAAGACACTTAATATTAATCACTAGGGGAATGTAAATCAAAACTACAATGAGATATCCTTTCATATCGACACACTAGGAGAGCTAAAATAAAAAAGACAATAATAAGTATTAGCAAGGCCATGGAGAAATCACAATCCTCATAATTACTATTATTAAATAGTGCAGAACTCTGGAAAACAGTTTGGTAGTTCCTCAGAAGGTTAAACACGGAGTTACCATACAACTCGCACCCAGGTATACATCAAAGAGAAATGAAAACATACATTCACACAAAAACTTGTATACAAATGTCCATAACAGCGAAAAAGTGGAAACAATTCAAATGTCTATCAACTGACAAACAGATAAACAAAATGTGGTATATCCATACAATGCAAAATTGTTTCAGCCACAAAAAGGAATGAAGTACTGATTCATGCTACAACACAGATGAACTTGGCAAATACATGGAAGCAGAAAGTATATTAGTGGTTATTAGGGCCAAGGGGAGGTGAGAATGGGGAGTGACTATTGATGAGTATGAGGGGTTTTTTTTGTGGGGGGAAGGGATGATAATAGTAGTCTAAAATTAGACTTTGTAGGCCAGGCGAGGTAGCTCACGCCTGTAATCCGAGCACTCTGGCAGGACAAGGCGGGAGGATCACTCAAGGTCAGGAGTTTGAAACCAGCCTGAGCAAGAGCAAGACCCCATCTCTACTAAAAATAAAAAGAAATTAATTGGCCAACTAAAAACATATATAGAAAAAATTAGCCTGGCATGGTGGCCCGTGCCTGTAGTCCCAGCTACTCGGGAGGCTGAGGCAGAAGGATTGCTTGAGCCCAGGAGTTTGAGGTTGCTGTGAGCTAGGTTGATGCCACGGCACTCTAGCCCGGGCAACAGAGTGAGACTCTGCTCCAAAAAAATAAATAAATAAATAAAATTAGACTTTGTGAATATGCTAAAAACTGAATCGTATACTTTAAAAGGGTGAACATGGCTAGGCACAGTGGTTCATGCCTATAATCCCAGCATTTGGGGAGGTGGGAGGACTATTTCAGGCCAGGAGTTTGAGACCATCCTGGGCAACATAGTGAGACCATATCCCTACAAAAAATTTAAAAAAAAATTTTTTTTAAAGGGCAAATGGTATGGTGTATATATTATGTCAATAAAACTGTTATTTAGAAAATTACATGGAATAAATCACAATATCATTTTTTTAGTTATTCCCTAACATTACATTTCACAGATCACATAGATACAAAGGAAGAAGATGCCAAGTATTTTTAGAATTTCAATATTGAACATCACTAAGAAAATGTTAGTTATAAATAAGTCAAGGCCCTAATAAAAAGCCATACCTTGCCACATTGCTTGTAGGAAATTCCCTTTTGGTTACAGTACTCATAGATGAGGGCTGCACCTTGTACACATAATTTAGCTTTCAGGGATTCAGGTTTATAATAAATTCCACTATGTATGACACCACTGTTATGTCCAGTCTGGTGAACAGCTATAGGAGAAGAGAAACAAGGTAAAAGAAAGTACATGAGTCATATAAAACATAAGAGGTGACAGAATAAACTTATAATTGAAGCTGTTAGAGACCACATTATTTAAAATTCTGCCCTAATTTGTTCAGATCACTGGTAACTTCCTCTAGCAGCCATCCCTGGTATCCACGTTTCATCTCTCCAGCCCATCTCTGATTTCAGCTACAACTTTACTGTACAAACTCACCTCTCACTACCAGCAAACCACTTTAGGGACCCACTAGGGCTCTTTGCATTCTGCCCCAGGGCCTTTGGTAACTTATTTTATTTTGGGATGAGGGGTGCTCAACATCACTAGTGGCAATACTCAACCAACAGAGACAGGAACTGATGGATAAATGAGCACAATCCTGGAAGACATTGTTCCTCAGAGATTCCAGTGAAATCAAGCTCGCAGCAACAACCTTGATAATGTACCCTCATGTGGCTTTTCCTCTTTCCCTATATTGTTCTCTCTATCCCCTCACTCCTGCCTCCTCAGATAACCTCTCAAATGAATCACCTACATCCAAGTCTTTATCCTATGCTTTGCTTTCAGGAGAACCCAAACTAAGATACTAATACTAACATCAACACTCAGCAAGCATGAAAGATTCCAAACCGATAAAACGAGCAGGTGCCCAAGTAAGCCAAAGAGCCAACAATGATAACATACATTACCTAAATCTTTCTCCTTTTCCAGAACACCAATAGAAAGTGTTGGATGTCGCAGGATGAGTGTTCTGGCAGAGGCAAGCCCCACAATTCCGCCACCAACAATGACTATGTCAAATGAGCTTCAAGAGAAAGACACTTTTAAAGTAATGCATGTTTACAGTAGACATCACCAAATTTCACACACATAATTTTCATCATCAATGGACAATTAAACTATTAATCTGTAATCATTAAAATCAAATATGTATTGGGTTTTGTGCTTCACACTCATGAAAAAGCCTTTAAAAGTTATATGTGGTGTTGGTCAATAGTGTAAGCATCACATTCATGAAAAAAACCTTTAAAATATACACGCATTGCTGGTCAGTAGTACAACTAGCTATAGCCTATTGGCAAGCAAGATGGCTTATTGCCCAAGCTGCTCTATGTCTCCATGGTATCTCTCCCAGGCTGGTTACATAAGTGATTACAATCATGCATCGCTTAACAGGAATACAATCTAAAAAGTGCTTTCTTAGGCAATTTTGTTGTTGTGCAAACATCATAGATCATACTTACAGAAACCTAGATGGTATAGCCTACTACAACCTAGGCTATATGGTATGGCCTATTGCTCCTAGGCTACAAACCTGTACAGTCTATTACTGTATCTGAATATCACACTTATAACACACTGGCACTTATAACACAATGGTATTGATGTATCTAAACATATCTAAACATAAAAAAGGTAGAGTAAACATATCTAAACATAAAAAAGGTAGAGTAAAAATACGGCATTATAATCTTATGGGATCATCATTATACATGCAGTCTGTGGTTGACCAAAACGTTGTTATGTGATGCATGACTGTACTTTGTGTTAAGCATCACACTTTTCTACCACCTGGCTTTTAGGAATTTGAGAAGAATAACTATTATAGGCTTCATATTTTCCAAAACCTCCATAATCTTCCACTAAAGTAGGCTTCAAAACACTTACAAAAACTTATTTGTACATGTATGACTTAATGATATTTTATATAGTCACCTCTCAGTATCCACAGGGGATTGGTTATAGGACCCTCAGGGATATCAAAGTCTATGGATACTCAAGTCCCTTATCTGAAATGGCACAATACTTGCACAGTGCCTATGCACATCCTCCCATATACTATATACTTTAAGTCATCTCTGGATTACTTATAATACCTAAAACCATGTAAATGCTATGTAAATAGTTGTTATCCTGCATTTTTTATTTGTATTTTTATTGTATTGTTATTTTTTTTCAAATAGTTTTGATCTGTAGTTGATTGAATCTGCAAATGCAGAACCCATGGATGTACCTGACTGTACTTTTTTTCCCGTATCAAGGTGATATCTATATCAACTGGTAAATTGTAAATATTCTACAAGAACCAATAAGTCCACAAAAGGAAGGCATGTGTGAGGGTATGTATGTAAGAAAGAGTAATATCTTTCATACTGTTTTTCTTTTTTACTTTCAAGTTCAGCTATGATGCTATCTTGCTTTGCCTTCAAGTCTCAATTTTCTGTAAAAATTGTAGCATAACCCTGGCACTTTGTAGGGGTAGTCTTGACTTCTATAACAGTGTTTTTCCATTCTTTTGATAAATAAAACATAAAACTGGCTTTTAATAAACATTAAAAGACCTTGTCTTTACAAAAAAATATAAAAATTAACCAGATATGGTGGCACATGCCTGTAGTACCAGCTACCCAGGAGGCTGAGGCATGAGGATTGCTTTATGTTTTAATAAACATAAAACCTTTGGTGAAATAGATCTTCCATTGAGAGTTGCTACTTTGATACAGCTTCCCAGCCAAGAAATTTTACCAGGACCTTTTTTTTGCAGATGATATTATAATACAATTATTAATAAACTCTTTATTTTCAAGTATAAAACTATGATACAGAATAGGCTTTTTCCAACTACATGTACCACTCTTCACTGTCCCTCCTTGAACCCAAAAAAATCACTGTTCTATACGGTGACATAAAATCATTCAAATATGCTTCATGAACTAAACCACAAACCTACAAGCATGCACTATGGGAAAATGTACAGAAAACAACAGTAATAGATGAACAATGGAGGAAATCTGCAGGCCAAGTTAACCATGAAGGCCAAAGGGGACATTGTTCTCTGCAGCTCACTTTATCTCAAGTCAAGATCAATAAGCAGTTTAACAGATAACTTTTCTTAGGAGTTTTACTATGAAAAAATTCAAACCTACACAAAGGTAGACATAATAGTACAATGAAGCCCTGCAAACATATCACCCAGCTTCGATAATTATCAGCTCATGGTGAATCTTGCTTCTTCTATACCCTGCCCATTTTATCCCCTCCTGTATATTATTTTGATGCAAACCCTAAACATAACATTATTTCATCTATAAATGTTTCAATAGGGGCCGGCACGGTGGCTCTCGCCTTTAATCCTAGCACTCTGGGAGGCCGAGGCGGGCGGATTGTTTGAGGTCAGGAGTTCAAAACCAGCCTGAGCAAGACCCTGTCTCTACTAAAAATAGAAAGAAATTAATTGGACAACTAAAAATATATATACAAAAAATTAGCCGGGCATGGTGGCACATGCCTGTAGTCCCAGCTACTTGGGAGGCTAAAACAGGAGGATCGCCTGAGCCCAGGAGTTTGAGGTTGCTGTGAGCTAGGCTGATGCCAGGGCACTCACTCTAGCCTGGGCAACAAAGTGAGACTCTGTCTGAAAAAAAAAAAAAAAAATTCCAAGCTTTTACACAAAGCTTCCTGTCTTTAGCCAATTACAAGTCAAAGTCAACCTACCTATAACCTGTAAGGCCTCCCCTGGCAGATGGCCTATCTTTTCAGGCCAAACCAATGTATGCCTCCAACATATTGATTTATGATTTTACCTAGTCCACTTGCTCAAGGCTTTTTGGGTGTGGCTCCAGGTCATGGTCCTCAAATTTGGTCAGAATAAATCCCTTTAAAATTATTTTACAGAGTTTGGCCTTTTTTCCATCAACAGTGTTAATTAGTTAACACCTTTTAGCAAGATGAATTCTAAAACTTCTATGTTTATAGAACTTAATTCAGAATAGCAAGTATTACTAAAATACTTACATTTGATATCTTAGTAAGATTTTAAAGTTTAAAAGTAATAATTAAAGTGTATTTTGTAGCTGAGCACAGTAGCTCAAGCCCATAAAACTACTACTTTGGGAGAGGGAGCGGGGAGGACGACTTGAGGTCAAGAGTTTGAGACCAACCTCAACAAGAGTGAGACCTTGTCTTTACAAAAAAATATAAAAATTAACCAGATATGGTGGCACATGCCTGTAGTACCAGCTACCCAGAAGGCTGAGGCATGAGGATTGCTTGAACCCACTGTTAGGTCCAGAGCCAAGGGAGAGACACATGAAGCCTCATGTGTAACAAAATGCTGCTTATTTAGAGCATCTGGGTATAGATGGGTGGAGGCCAAGAGCTCCCAAAAGCATCCCAAGAAATTTATTTCTAAAACAACTCTTTAAAAACGCACATACTACCATTATTGCAACTAAAAAAATTAAGTCATTTTTTATATCATCATATATTCACTATGAAACTTTTACAACAGGCGTGGTGGCTCAGACCTGTAATCCCAGCATTTTTGGAGTCTAAGGTGAAGGATCACTTTGAGGTCAGGAGTTCCAGACCAGCCTGCACAAGACCAAGACCACCATCTCTACTAAAAATAGAAAAAATTAGCCAGGCATGGTGGTTTGTGCCTGTAGTTCTAGCTACTGGGGAGGCTGCGGTGGGAGGAACACTTGAGCCCAGGAGTTTGAGGTTGCTGTGAGTTAGGCTGATGCCACAACACTCTAGATCGGGCGACAGAGTGAGACTTGGTCTTAGAAAAAAAAGAAAAAACATTTAGAAAAAACTAGTACAAAATCTTTGGGACCTAGAGTTGGCACCAAAACGTGATCTCTAAAAGGAAAAAAAAATGTAAGATGGACTTCATAAAAATTGAAAACTTTTGCTTTCCACAAAACCTTTTAAGAGGATGAAAGACTATCAAAAGATTGGGAGACAAGATTTGCGACCATATTTAACAAAGGACTCATAGCTAGAATATACAAAGAACGCGTAAAACAAACAAGCCATTTAGAAAATGGGCAAAAGATATGAATAAATGTTTCATCAAAGAGGACACGTAGGCCGGGCGCGGTGGCTCACGCCTGTAATCCTAGCTCTCTGGGAGGCCGAGGCGGGCGGATTGCTAGAGGTCAGGAGTTCAAAACCAGCCTGAGCAAGAGCGAGACCCCGTCTCTACTATAAATAGAAAGAAATTAATTGGCCAACTGATATATATATAAAAAATTAGCCGGGCATGGTGGCGCATGCCTGTAGTCCCAGCTACTCGGGAGGCTGAGGCAGAAGGATCGCTCGAGCCCAGGAGTTTGAGGTTGCTGTGAGCTAGGCTGACGCCATGGCACTCACTCTAGCCTGGACAACAAAGCGAGACTCTGTCTCAAAAAAAAAAAAAAAAAGAGGACATATATACAAATGGCAAATAAGCACATGAAAAGATGTCAACACTATTAGTCACTGCATTGTTCAAACACCATTACATCAGAGAAATGTAAATTAAAACCACAATGAACTATCATTACACTTCTATCAAAATAGCTAAAATTAAAAAAGTGATAACATCAAATGCTGGTGAGAATGCAGAGAAACTGGATCACTCACACATAGCTGGTGGGAATATAATATAGCAACTCTAGAAAACAGCATGGCAGTTTCTTCAAAAACCAAACTGCATTTTCGGGCATTTATCCCAGACATAATTTATGTTCATACAGAAATCTGTACATGAATGTTGATAGAAGCTTTATTCATAACAGCCAAAAACTAGAAACAGCTCAGATGTTCTTCGACTGGTGGTGAATGTTTAAGCAAACTGTGATGCACCCAAACTATGGAATGCTACTCAACAATTTTTTTAAAACCCACTATCAATATAGGCAACACCTTGGATAGATCTCAAGGACATTATGCTCCAGTGAAAAAAGCCAATCTCAAAAGGTGACATACTCTATGATTCCACTTACAAAACGACAACATAATAGTGATGGAGACCAGATTAGTGGTTATAAAGGGTTAGGAAGGGTGGTGAGGTAGGGTGTGAACATAAAGGGATAGGTAGGTAACATAGGGATATCTTTGTAGCTATGAGACATTTCTATATCTTAAGTAGTGTTTACACAAATTAACATATATGATTAAATTGCATGGAATTACACACATATGCGCACACAAATGAGTACATGTAAAACCGATGAACTCAGAACAAGATTTGTGGATTATGCCAATACCAACATCCTATTTTTGATATTGTACTATAATTATTTAAGATATCATTGGAGTAAATGGGGAGCAGAGTACACGTGACCTCTCTACAATTTTTGCAACATCCCATGTATGGATCTACAATTATTTTAAAATAAAAAATATAAACAAAACTTTCACTAACCCTAATTTTCTTCCCTTAAGAAAATGTTCCCAAAAGATTCTGAACATACCCTGAAACAAATCACAAATGCTATTACTAGTATCCCACTCTAATCCCCTCAATCCACTAACACACAGCAGCCAGAGTCAACTTTTGAAATATCAACATTTAACCACATCTCCCTTCTTTACAACCTTTTAAATAGCTCCCTATAACTCTTAGAAAAAAATTTAACGGGTGGTTAACATAACCTTGCCGTGATGTAGCCCTTCTCTGTTGTCATTCCACAGCATGTCTTCCACTAAGCTCCAGTCACACTCACATTGCCCACCTTCTAGTCCTTGAAATAGCTAACAGTTTTTCAGCCTTAGAGCCTCCGCACAAACCGTTCCTTCCACAGAGAGCAAAGACAACGGTTTCCAATGTGACCTCCAAACTTCAAATCACAGGGCACTGAATTCTGCAGGCTTGATTAGCAACCGAGCTGCTTCTCACAGGGGAAACCTGCAGTATGTGCCAGGAACTGATTGATGATTTAAGACTGGTTTCATGCCTTCCAAGCAACACCAAGGATGCCAGCTACAGCATATTTGATTGCTTACAGTGTACTAGATCCTTTTATCCTCAAAACAACTACCTTCAGGGAGAGACTAAGATTCCATTCACACCTGAGCCGTTAAGGAGGTTAAGTAAATCACCCAGAGTTGAATAGTTAAGGGAAAGGGTTGTATTCAAAGCCAGAACTGCTCTTGACCTCTAAACACTGCCGTTCCTCCCGCCTATAAATGCAACGAATGAGCCCTGCAGGTTGGTAGCTCTTGGGATCCAAGGCTGGATCTCCACAGCATCCCAAGCTCCTCTCACGCCTGGGGCAGGGAAGCACGAGCAGGGGCATAGGTCCAACACGAGGAACCTCTGAGAGAAACAGCAGAGCAGGCGGCGGGGGCCGGCCAGCAGCCACTCACCTGGTGCTGGCGCTGCGGCCACCCCTACACAGCGACCAAGGCCTCCCCGACGCCGGCCCGCACGCCCCGGGGAACCCCCCGCGCGCCCGGCCGCAGGCACTACCCAGGTAACGCAGCGCCGGCACCATCGCCTGCTCCCTTTCCCGCCCAAGAGGCAACCACTTGAGCCCAACACGCTGCCCTGCACCCGGCGTTCTCTAGCCCCGCCCCCAGGCAGGGGCCAATAAGGCGTGCACCTTCACCCCACGTGGGAGCCGCCGCGGTGGCCAATGGGCGCGCGCGGCGGCGGAAGGCGGAGAGCAGGCCGGCGCCGTAGACGCGGGGGACGCCGGCTCGCTCGCTCCCTCCCTCCGACGCTGTGAGTAGAGCAGCTAGGCCCCGAGCGCGGCGGGATTAGGGTGGTCGTTACGCTCTGCCCTGGCTCTTCTTCTAACGCTAGGCTGGCTGAACGCCTGTTCTTCCGGGTCGTGCGTTACGACCTTCACCGCCGAGCGGGTGTGGGGCCGCAGGAGAAAGTGTGGGCACGTTTACGGGGAAAGTAGTTGGGGCGGGCCCTGGGCCTCCCTTCTCCCCGCCCGCCGCCCCGGCCCCGCGGTCTCCAGCCCCGCCCCTACGCGCCGACCGGCCGCTGAAGGCGCTCCCCGGCCTGCCCTGACCCTCGCTCCTGACGCTGGCTCTTTGTCTCGACAAAGTCTGACAGCCGGCAGTCTCCTGGACTTCTTCTCGTGGGGCTCCTGGCCATGTCATTCTCATTCAGCCATTTAATTCAGTCTTTAAATGTCCAGCGCCTACTCCGTGCGGGACCGGGCGCCGGGCACGGGATGAAGCGGACACTCTGTCTCCGCCGTCATATAGCAGCTTGTCCTTTTCTTAAATACTACACCGAGATGCAGTTTTAAACGTGGTGGGGCCTCTGAAGACCTGTGGAGGTCACCTCCGTTTCCTTGTCTGTAAAAGGAGGGCGATGGGCTATGGAATCTCTAAAAATCCTTTTAATTCTGTAAAATTTTGTGATTCACTATCACTGTGCCAGTTTAACACCCCTTATGTATGCTTGATGGCAGTTTTAAATGTTTAGGGTTAGGACAGCCAAACAACAAAAATAGAACGATATAACATTATTACTAAAAGGACTTTTTGAGTTGGTTCCAGCCATTGGTCAGGTGGCTCAGGGAGGTAATTTCACCTGCTTTGACTCAGACCTTCCTCTGTGAACTAGGAATAGTAGGATAGTATTAATAGCAGAGTGTCCCTCCTAGAGCTGTTCAGTGGATTACATGAGATAAGGATCATCAGGTGTTGAGCACAGCGAAGCATTCGCTAAATATTATATTTAAATGGCTTTACCGAGAATAATAGTACATGTTTTGCTTTATTTGTGAAAACAAAGTAGAGTATTGTCTGCTTGTCCCATCACAAATGAAAAAAAATGAGATAGTTATTCAACTTTTTATTTTGAGGTGCCGTGTTTCCCCGAAAATTGACATGGTGTTATATTATTTTTCCTCAAGAAGACACCCTAGGGCTTATAGGAAGACATCCCTAGGGGATGTGTTATTTTTTTTTAAGTGCAGTACAACAATCTATATTTATTCAAATATAGTTAAGTCGTCTTCTTCTGGAACATCATCATAACTCTAAACCCCAAATTCCATCCTGAATTTCTTGTGACTCTATTTCCTTTAGAACCATTGGCCCCAATCTCTCATGTGGAGGGAGCAATAGAGCTCTCATTAAATGAGCAGAAGGGAAGGGCTGCTCCGCTTCTTTACTGCTTCGCAAAGAAATTCATGGGTTGTGCAGATATGCTGCGTAGCCTCGCCCATCACTAGGTCTTATTTTCAGGGTAGGGTTTATATTGCGCAAATGCACAATCCTAGAAATCCTGCTAGGGCTTATTTTATGGCTACGTCTTATTTTCCAGGAAACACAGTAATTGTAGATTCCCCAGCAGTTGTAGGAAATAATAGAGATCCTGTCTACCCAACACCCAATCTCCCCAGTACCCAGTCTCCCCGGTGATTACATCTTGCAAAACTGTAGTACAATATTGCAACAAGATAATTGCCATTGACATGATTGATCTCATTCAGATTTTCCCAGTTTTGTAATTCTCTGAATTCAGTTCTATATAATTATCACATCTATAGACTCTTATAGCCATCACCACAGTCAAGATACAGCACACTTTCATCACCAGGAATATCCCCCAAGTTACTGTTTTATAACCACAACTTCCCCTTGCAGCTCCACCCAATCTTTCTCCCTTTCTAAAATTTCCTCATTTCAAGAATGTTATATAAATGTAATTATACAGCATGTAAGTTTTGGGGATTGGCTTTTTTCACTCAGCATACTCCCTTGAGATCCATCAGTATTGTTGTATGTATCAATTCCTTTGCAATACTGAGTAGCATTCCACAATATGGATATGCTACCTACAATATGTTCAACCATTTCACCCATCAAAGGACATCTGAGTTGTTACTGGTTTTAGCTATTTTGAATAAAGCTGTTAAGAACCTTAGTGTACAGCTTTTTGTGTGATCCTGTTTTTTGTTTCTCTAGGATAAGTGCCCAAGAGTTCAATTGCTGGGTCATATGGTAAGCATGTGTTTAATTTTATAACAAAAGTGGCTGTACCATTTTACATTTCTATCAGCAATGTTTGAGTGATCTAGTTTCTCCTCATTGTCACCAAGATTTGGTGTTGTCACTAATTTTTATTTTAACCATTGTGATAGGTATGTAGTAGAGATGGTTATTTTTTAGTTTGAACAGGACATAGGTGATGTGTTACTAGCTTAAATATAGAATTATATGCTTTGAGGGCCTGTGAACAGACTTTTATGGCCTCTGGGCCCATAGTCATGATTGCTTTACTATTACATGATTTCAAGGATGTGCTTCTTAGTTTAGCAGGGGTGAAAGAACTCAAAATACACATGCTATTTTATTTTACTTTATTTTATTGAGACAGGGTCTCTGTCTCAGGGGATCGAGTGCAGTAGCACAATCATAGCTTACTGCAACTTCAAACTTCTGGGCTCAAGCAGTCCTCCTGCCTCAGCCTCCTAAGTAGCTAGGACTACAGGCCCGTGCCACCACGCCTGGCTAATTATCATCATCATTATTATTACTATTATTTTGTAGAGCTGAGGTCTCACTGTGTTGCTCAGGCTGGTCTCAAACTCCAGGGCTCAAACTATCCCACCTCCCAAAGTGCTAGAATTGCAGGCATGAGCCACTGTGCTCAGCCACACATGCTCATTTTATAACATTTTCTCTGCTTACCTTTCCCCCAAGATTTGATTGTACAGTCGTTGTTTCAATTAAGTAATTTCAAATTAAGGGCTTACCTTGCATTCATATACCCTATAATGTATGTATTCCTGACACTACACTCCATTGAGATTTCATGTTCATCTTCCTCCATCTAGGTGAGAACCTGTAAGAACTTAGTTCGATGAGTGCTATGTGATGTTGGCCTAAGGATGGCTTTTGGGACCTGTGCTTCTAATACCTAATAAATTTCCTTGTTGATCTGTTTCACTCGATTCTACACACCTCAGGAGTGAGAACTACAATCAGTAATGGGTGATTTACAGTGGATGGGATTGTAATTTGGGAGATAACTACCCCATTCTGATGCCACCCCATCCCTTCCTGTCACCACTTTACCATCTTCAACAACTAGTTCACTAATTCAGTATTTATGACCACCAAGTTAACTTTCGCTTTGAATAGTCCCCTAATTGCACTTAATATGTAACATCAGAACTTCCACTTTAAAAAAAACCTGTTTTTATACAAACAGGGAAACTATTAAACCTACTCAGAAAACACTTTGTATATATCCTGTTTTGAGTAACACTTTATAGGTCTGGTTTCTAAGTTACAAACATAATTGCAACTTTTATTTATTTATTTATTTTTTGAGACAGAGTCTCACTCTGTTGCCCAGGCTAGAGTGTCTTGGCATCAGCTTAGCTCACAGCAACCTCCAACTCCTGGGCTCAAGCAATCCTTCTGCCTCAGCCTCCCGAGCAGCTGGGACTACAGTCACTACAGGACTACTAGCTGGGCCACTGTGCCCGGCTAATTTTTTTGTATATATTTTTAGTTGGCCAATTAATTTCTTTCTATTTTTAGTAGAGACGGGGGTCTCACTCTTTTTCAGGCTGGTCTTGACCTCCTGACCTTGAGCGACACGCCACCCCCACCACACCACCACACCACCACCACCACCACCACACCACCACCACCACACCACCAACTCCCACCATCCCCCCCCCCACCTCTAGGATTACAGGCCTGAGCCACCACGCCTGGCTGCAACTTTTAGAAACATTGTTACACATTTATAGCTCTGAGCCATGTTGTGCTATTAAGAAATTTGTTTTTATTTTTGTTTTTAGAATTTGAATTCCTGTATTATTTATGGCAGCGATAATTTAGTTGTGGCTATTTTCTAACTTTTAACTGGATTATTTTAATTTATTAAAGCTAAATTCACTAACTCACCACTAGAGGTCTCCTCTTCCCCTATAGAAAGCATTCCCAGAGGTAGCTGCTTGCACTCAATAGGAATAATTCCCAAAATTAAGTAGCAAAGTTGCAGTTGAGAAAGTAAAAACTTAAAAATTTTTAGACCTTTATTGCCAAATATAAATTTAATTTTCATGTTCAAGTTGTTTTAAATATATCTAGTGTTTTTAGAGATCACAACTGAAGTAAATTTTGCTCTCCCTTTAAGGTGAATTATAAGATGGGCCAAAATGAATCAAGTGAAAGTATCCAATTTTCAAAGACCACTGTAATACACCTGCTTCATGACAGTTTATTTGGTTTTGTCTTTCTCCATGGAAATATGTCAACCATTGAAGACTATTAATTAACAAATATTTAGTAAATTTTTACATTATGCTGAGAAAAATGGAAATGAATAAGATGTGATCCTTGCTCTTCCTTTTTTCTCTGCATACTTTTTTTTCTTCCTAGTTGGAAACTCTTGATCACTGTTTAAGACCCATCTCAAAAGACACCTCTAGTATGAAGCCTTCTCCTCACTCCCTTCTCTGCACTCTCATGGCATTTGCTTATACCTCTGTTAAGACACCATGTTGGATATTATTTATCTGTTTACATGTCATCTGTCTTCTTCATTAGACTATATATTCTATAAAGATGGGAATCATGTCTTTCACTGTGTGTCCCTTTCTCTCCTTTGTTGTTTTGGTTTTTTGTCTTACCATTGTTTCTTTTGCACTAAATATAGCAGACATTCAATAAACATTTATTAAGTGAATGAATGAGCAGATGGATATGGCATTTAAATGAGGTCTTGAGGTTGGATGAGATTTCTGCAGATAGGATGGGTGGGGGCGGAGGTGGTGGAATACAGGGAACAGCCTGAGTAGAAATCGGGAAGCTCAGACTTGTAAATGAGGTCGGCAACCAGTGGAGTTATTAGAGGTGGGCATACAACTTTAACAAAAAGCTGGAAAGGGTTGAGAAGGTGAGAAGAGGTAGCAGGGGGAGAGGTTTGCAGTAATGAATACAGAGTGATGGTGGAAAAGGTATGAAGAGGGTATTAGATGATCTCAGGATTCTGTCCCCGGCCACATCTCTCACTGTTTAACAGCCTCAACATCATCAGTCACTTCCTCAGCTCTAAGGTGGTTCTCACTCAGGCATCTTTCTAGTCCTCTTATTTCCCTTGAATTCTAGAAATTTGAATGATTGAGGAAAGGGCCCTGGATTGGTAGGAGAGAGAACTGGGTTCAAGTTTCAACACTGCCACCAATTAGCCATGAAACATTGAGCAAGTCCCCTTAAACACATGCATTTATTAGTACCCCGCCTTGTTCCAGAAAGAATTAAGTGTGTCAGCAAGTTACTTAATATCAGAGCTTCAGTTTCTTCATCTCTAAATGAGAGGTTTGGTCTAGGTGATCTAACTTCCTTCCAGCTCTAGCATTTTGTGACTCTGATTCCAATCATTTATTTGTCATCTCTACTTAGAAGTCCTGCCAAACTTTCATATTTAGAATATGAAAAACTGGAAGAAAAAAATGGAGCTCACAACCCTGTCCTGATGTTGATTTCTATTAATGGCATCACCATCCTCCCAGTGACCCAGGACCAAAAGTTGGTGTCATCTTCAACTCTACCTCTTGCCCCCCTAAATCTCGCTGAGTCATATGGAATCTAATGACTCTGTAATGTCGTTTCCATCCTTCCCGGCTAGTCCCTTTCCTAAGGCCACATATAATCGAAGCCCTTGTTGGCTGGCTGTCTCATTCTGTAGATTCTCAGTCTTGATGCGCTGAGTAAATCCTGAAGCACAGCTGTAACAATGCCAGTGCTTTGTTCTAAAACCTCAGCAACTCCCAACTGCCTGCCAAATACAGTCCAAACTCCCTGGCTGAGCACGCCAGACCTTTCCTGTCCTGACTATGCAAATTGCCTGCCTCTTCTCATGACTCCCACGTGCTAACGAAACTGAACTACAACATACCTTAGACGTTCCTGCTGCATCTAACAACCTGGCTAACTTTCCTTGACACCCTTGTTGAAAGCCTCTTTATCATTTTTTTTTCTTGTTTTAACTCTTTTAAGTCATTTATCAGCATCCGTCAGTTATTTTAACTACTTGGTAATTTGTCTTAGTCCATTCCACCCTGCATTAAATTGTCAGTTCCTTAAAGCAGAGACTATGTTTCATTTATCTTTTTCTCCCCACCTTCCACCCCCACCCCCCCATACATACCCGGCACATTACTAGAGAAACTTGAATTGAGATAAATTAGATTGAGACCTAGTCCAAAAATCACTTTTTCAACTCATGGTTATAGATTTTTACAGCTGGAGATCATCTAAGCAAAGCATCTCATTTTACAAATGAGAAAACCAAGGGGCAGAGAGGTGAGGTTACTTGCCCAGTCTTTCCCAGCTGCCTTTGCACATTGGTTGCACTGCTCTGGTGACACCACTTGCAGCCTTGTAATAGGTAGGTCTGTTTTCATGTTTTCTCTTCCATCCTGGATGTAATGCATCTTAACCTCAACACAATATTTTTTGGGTGACTTTAGTCTGTCAGTTTGATATTGAAAATGTAGATTGGGAGGGGAACTAGCTGGTTTGGGCACATTTATAGTTATACTGCCTGAGCAGACACTAGGTGGCAACACTGCAGACAGACTGCAATTGAGGTTTGAACAATGGAATTTAATATTAAAGCTGGAAGGAACATTAGACACTATCCAGTCTGACCCTTCGTTTTTGAAGCAAAAAAAAAAAAAAACAAGAACCAGAGGCAGGAGTGACTTGCTCAATAACTGCTGAGTGGGAAGTGAGTCATAAGCTTTATTGACACAAGAGAATAGACTCTGAAGTTGTGAAGTTACTACATGTATGGAACTCTGATTGCCAGCTGTTGATCTAACGTGAGCACTGTTTTGTGTGTCTAGATTAAAGGATGCTGTTTGGAAAAGTTTCCTGGCAGTTGTGTGGCTTAAAGAAACTCCCATGGTCATGTGACTCCAGATACTTCTGGGGCTGGTTGAATACAGTGTTTAATAAGTAAGTTCCTCTAACTAAAGTGAAGAAAGGTGGGATTGTTGTAGCCAGATGAGTTCCCAATAGCTCGTTTGGTTATTTCTTGTATTTCATGTGTTTTTTGAACATTTTGTGCAGTATGACCTAATTTTGTTTACAAACAAATGAAACATACAAACATGGAAAAAAAGACCAGAAAAGTAGATTATAGAATATTAACTGTGGCTATCTGGGTTGCAGGGGTTCAGTGATTTTTCTTATTTGTCTTTTTTATACCTTTCAAGTTTTCTAAAATGAACATTTATTACTTTTATAATCAGAAAAACTTAGTAAATGTAATTTAAAAATATTTTACAGCTTTTTAAGGAATGTAGTTAGCCTTTTGAGTACTATCAAGAAAACCCAAGTTTTTAAAAAATTAGTGGATGGCTTGCTTAAAAATATCATTTAAAAAAAATTTTTTTTCATTTTTTTGAGACAGAGTCTCGATTTGTTGCCCAGGCTAGAGTGAGTGCCGTGGTGTCAGCCTAGCTCACAGCAACCTCAGTCTCCTGGGCTCAAGCAATCCTACTGCCTCAGCCTCCCAAGCAGCTGGGACTACAGGCATGCGCCACCATGCCCAGCTAATTTTTTCTATTTATATTAGCTGGCCAATTAATTTCTTTCTATTTGTAATAGAGACGGGGGTCTCACTCTTGCTCAGGCTGGTTTCGAACTCCTGACCTGGAGCAATCCGCCTGCCTCGGCCTCCCAGAGTGCTAGGATTACAGGCGTGAGCCACCGCGCCCGGCCAGAAATATCATTTTGAAACTGATAAAACTAACCTCATTGCTTAATGTGGCATTTTGATTACTAACAAGAGTAAAAGGCATATGTAGAAGTTAATAAATATTACTTAATAAGATTAATTTGAACATGGGTTCAAACTTTCTGGTTTAATATTTTATCATTAATAATGCTAATCAAGCAAGTATAGTCATTCATTCAATACATAGTTACTGAGTATCTATGGTTTTAAGCACTATGCTACATATGAATCAATAAAGACTCATGTATTCTGATAAACTCCTATAAAATAACATTCCTTGACAAAGTTTATTTGGAAACAAAAACAAAAGTAAAAATTTAGCAGGCTAAACTATAGTTTTTTTTTTAAGTGGATCTCATTATACATTTCTGTCTCTCATCAGTCATTAGAAATGAAAATTTTTGCTGTTCTGTATTTCTGTTAGTGAATATAGTTAGCGAAGAAGTTAGTGATTATTGTAAAACAGAGCTGTTTTTTTAATCTCTGCCAACAGAGTGGATTATGAACGCATTAGGGATGTCGGCCCCGACAGGGCAGCATCCGAGTGGCTGTTGCGATGTGGGGCCATGGTACGCTACCATGGCTATGACAGGTGGCACAAGAACTACAACAACCTCCCAACAGGCTCTCTAGACAAATACAAGATTCAAGCCATCGATGCCACAAACGCTTGTATCATGAGTATGGGATTTGATCACATGGGTAACTACCCTATCATTTTGCTTATAAGAAATGCAGGTGATTTGCATTGATCAGTTTGTTGCAGTTGTCTCATTATTATATCATAGGTGTGATCTTTTTTGCCCATTTTAGTACAATCAACGTTTGTTTCTTCCTGTGTTTGATATCTATTTTCAAATTAAAGAGTATGATATAAACACCTTCCTCTCCTTCCTCCTATCACTAAGCTTGCTTCTAATATTAATACATGCCTTTATTTTGTGGTTTATTGACTTAAAATTCAAGGCATTGTTTGTCAAACTTCTAGCATTGAGAAACTCTCAATAATGTAGTAACAATCACATCACACAGTTTCTGCTTGTGTGGGCATTTCTTTCCTCTAGTGCATGGGCTTTTGATGCAGAGTGGCCCTGTCCATCAGCATGACCTGTATAGTGAATAACTTCTATGGTTAGTAGTGTAAGCAATTGTTCCAGTTTTCATGGGACTAAGAGGTTTCCCAGAACATAGGGAACTTTCAATCCTAAACTCAGGACATTCCTGGGCATACCAGAGGAGTTGGTCATCTTAATGGTAAAGCAGATTTTTAAATTGTACATTTTTCCCCCCAGACGGCTTAGAGCATGTTGAAAAAATGAGACTATGCAAGTGTCATTATATCGAGGATGACTGTTTGCAGAAAATTGGTCAACTTGAAAAATTACAAAAGAGCTTATTGGAAATGGAAATAATTTCCTGTGGGAATATCACAGACAAAGGCGTCATTGCTTTGAGTAATTTAAGGTAGGTGGTCAAAACCAAAGTGGAAACATGATAATGATGTTAAGGTGAAATTAATAAAAGATGCAGTTGAGTGGTGGTGTCTTTTTTTAGTTTTAAAAAATGTAATTTAAGAAAATGACCTCATTTTCATCTATAATTCTTTCTAAAAGTTAAAATGATCAACCTGAATTAAGGTTTTATTATATTTTTTAGGGGACATGTTTTTAAAAATTAAATCTACATAAAGTACCTACTATGATACCTGCAGCAGTAAGCCCTCAATAAGCATTAGCTATTATGCTTTCTCTCCTTCTTTTAAAGAATTTTTCCCCAGGTTTTTAGTATTCTCATAACATTAGTTGTATACCTGTTAGCATTTCAATCTGTGATTAAGTTGCTTGAGGGAAAAAAACCTTGAAATATTCACCTATCTCTGGAGCCTAGAACACTGCCTGCCACTATAATAAATTTCAAAAACATGCATCCATCAGTTAGGAAAGTTGTTCTACCACCAACCAAACCCATGCCATGGTCTGGAGTAAATCACCCAATCCCAAACACAAAAATAGATACTGCTAGCAAGAAATGTTTAATTCAAAAATTGCAGGATTCTGAGACTTATCAGAGTGATGAAGAAAGAATATGTTTATTTAATCAAATCACTATTTAGAGACCCCATCATTCACATTCTGAATCTAATTAATGTAGTTCTGCTTTACCATGTAATGGATCTGCCTGTAACCTTAGTATCATGGGAAGTTTGAGGAATTTTAAGCATTAGGACCAAAAGTACTAGATTCTTCCTCTCTTACATTAGCTGAGCCTTCAAAGCTTCCTCTTGTAATACAAATTTGAGTACCTTTAAGAACTTTCCCAATTTTTTTTGTTTTTGGGGTTAAGATGCATATTTTACATTTCACATGCAAAGGAGACCTATGCCATAATATATATATGAGAAATATAGTATTTAGAAAGATTCAGCTAGATATATTGATGTAATTAAGAACAACTATAATTTCCAAAGTCTGGCTTAGTTCCTAACATGAATTTCACTTAAAATAGTATTCAAAGACTACTGCTCTAAGACATTTTGAAGGTGTGAGGTGATATAAACACACTCTTTATGTAATTTTTTAAAAAGTCAATAAATTGATTTACTTTTAACGCTAAAGGCCAAATTGAAGTGACTTTTTTCTGTCTCTATTTGCAGAAACCTCAAGTATTTGTTGTTAAGTGATCTTCCTGGAGTTAAAGAAAAAGAAAATCTTGTCCAAGCCTTTAAGACAGCACTGCCTTCTCTGGAACTAAAATTAGACTTGAAGTAAAATAATAAGTGTCTTATTTGAGTATAAAAGATCATTTGAAATTGTTGATCCTAAATAGCAACAAATATTATACAATCACCAATAGAATTATAAGGATGTCATATCATGACATTGTAGAAGTAGAGAATCCACCATATGCAGAAAATAAATATTCAGATGCACTCACTAAAGTTACTGAGAATTTATGTACGTTAATTCATTTTAGGAAAAATGCAAACAAGGTAGCATTTTAAATCTAATATATTCCTCATTTAATATACAAATATATAGATATCTCTTGTAGATACTCAGTGTTCTTTAAAGTGATTTAACTGTGTAACACAGATATTCTTTATTGTATTATAGCAGTAATTTGTATTACATTTTACCTTAAAGTTACTGAAGCATGTTACTATAAATGCACAATTATGAAAACCTGGAAGCTAAATCACAGATTCATTGATGGAGTCAATTATGCAAAATAGTCAGTGGTTGTTGAGGCATGCATTTCATGTTGATTCCCAGGATTTGCCTGCATTTCCTATGATCCAGCATTCCTGTGATCTTGATAGCATATACCATTTCTCAAAATGCATAGTTGTTGGTTAATTTGTCTATTTTGTAAGCTTAGGCTAGTGTTTTATTAAAACTGGACTTAGATACTTGGCTGAATTCAAATAGTTGTGTTGATTGCAATAGAATAAAAGAAACAATTATAAAGACCAGGCTATGTTTAGGTTTTTCTTAAATTAAAAAATTGCTTAAAACATTTTAATGTGTCAATTAGCAACTAATTTTCCTTCTCTCATATATCTTGGACACAACTTCTTATAAGCTCAAGGGACATCAAAAAATTGACATACAAAAGTCAATTTGAATCTAGAAAGCAGTACAAGTTGATAAAACAGGTCTTTAATTTTACCTACTTGAAATAGCCCTGATCCTATTATTATTAGTTATATGCCAGCTTGTTTGTAGATTTCTGTATGTTTGGTTTGAACATTCAGTTGTTGAATATAAACTTAATTAAAAATAATTTTTAAATAAATACTTTCTATAATGCAGCTTTCAGGTAGAAAAGGAATTTTAGTAGTGCTTAGAAACTAGTTTATGTAAATAGCACATAGCATAAATGATACACTATTTATAAATATAATCAACACTGTCATTTAAAAAATCAGAAAATGGAAAATAAAAAAGACAAGGATGTAGGATAATCTCATGTGATACAATGGTGATTTCATGCTGAAGAAGAGGAATACAGATATGGTTAAAGTGAAAAGCATAGATTTACTAGAACTCATTAGAAAAAATGAGTCCTCTTTCTTGTTTGTTTCATTACCAGGTGATACAACAACTGATTTACCACAATTTAGTCAGAGCTACTTTTCTATTCCGAATGGTTTTCTATAATAAAACCATTGGATGAATTAGGCAGTTATAGTCATCTGCCTGCATCAGGTGCATTTTCTTCGATTAAAGAAAAAAAAGAAAAACAATTTTAACTATTTATAGAAGTTGTTTGTCCTTCCTTGCCATTTGAACCAATGTTACCTAAAGGGAATTGAATAATTTTGAGACTATTCTTTAATACACTATCAGGTCTATGCAAGAAGCTACATACATTGGGAAGCCTTAGGATATCATTAAATTGCCTGGGGTATCCAAAATTATTGAACACATGCCAGAATTCAATGAATTACTTAGTAGTAAGTGAATGGGGTCAAACACTATAATGAAGAAAATTAACACAGGAAGAAAATGAGAGTACAGATGATATGTTTTAAAGATACAGTAAAATACAACTTTGAAAGCCATGGTTGATAGCTGCTAGGAAATAGTGGCAGCACATCAACCAGAAATGGTGCTGAGCTGTAAGAAACATATGAGGCTTCATATTGCCATTGTGTCTAGGGGACAAGGATGAAAAAGCTTTTTAATTAGGAGCAGTAGGCCAAATCAAAGCTAATTAATATATGTCATCATTTTAAGTCTCTACAAAGCTAGGAATCCTCAATAACAATATCATTTTGGACTACTTTCTTTTTTTCCTTTTTTTTTTTTTTTTTTTTTTCTTTTAAGAGATGGGTCTTGGCCGGGTGCGGTGGCTCACGCCTGTAATCCTAGCACTCTGGGAGGCCGAGGCAGGCGGATTGCTCCAGGTCAGGAGTTCGAAACCAGCCTGAGCAAGAGCGAGACCCCCGTCTCTATTACAAATAGAAAGAAATTAATTGGCCAGCTAATATATATAGAAAAAATTAGCCGGGCATGGTGGTGCATGCCTGTAGTCCCAGCTACTCGGGAGGCTGAGGCAGTAGGATTACTTGAGCCCAGGAGATTGAGGTTGCTGTGAGCTAGGCTGATGCCATGGCACTCACTCTAGCCTGTGCAACAAAGCGAGACTCTGTCTCAAAAAAAAAAAAGAGATGGGTCTTACTTTGTGCCCAGGCTAGAGAGTGCAGTAGCATGATCATAGCTTTCTACAGCCTCAAACTCCTGGGCTCCTGAGTAGCTGGGAATACAGGCATGCACCACCACACCCAGCTTGGACTACTTTCTAATTAGTTGTAAAGATAGTATATATATATACATACATGCATGTGTGTAAGTATATATGCATGTGTACATACACACACATATACATACATATAGTGTAAATGTTTCGGGAAAACAGTTTACAACCTAACGTCTTTCGTGAGTCAAGTGAAAGCTCATAAGCAGTTTCTTCTAAAATCCGGATCACTATATACAATTTCTACGCTCTAGATCTGTCTCCAGGTCTGAGGCTGAGCTGGAGGGAATGAAGTACTAATTATTTTCAGGCTAACAGGTTCCGTTCCTGCAAAGCCTGTAGGTCTTGTTCTACGCCTTGACCACCTTGGTCAGCCGCCAAGCTTCATGCCATTGTTTGCAAGGGAAATTGAGTGAACAAATGTTGACAGATTACAGCAAATACATCTTGCCTGCAAAAGTGACTAAGATACATCCTTACTGAAGGTAAAGACAAATGTATATGTAAAAAAAATGTATAAACATATCATTAAACATATAAGCATATAAATTACAAAGTATGATAATATGATTTTAAATATTTGAACTTAAATATTCCAAAAAATTGTTTTAAAATATAAAAATCAAGAAATAAAGTAAGCAGAAAATAGACTTTTAAATATTTTGATTGCAAGAACTAAAACTATTCTTAAATATGACGTTGAAACAATCTGAAAGGGAGATAGGACTCAAGGTAACAGAGATCCAAAGGAAATAAATATGGACATTTTGTAATCCATTTTTCACATGTAGCGTATGGTACCACTGAAGCGTAAATCTCTTTGAAATCATCTAATTTTGCCAAAGGTATGAGGAGTAGATAGAGTTTATTTTCTGTCCCTAAGTTCAGCTGCTTACATAAACAAAAATACAAGTGAAACTCCAAACAGGTTTTTCCTTTCTTTTCTGGACACCATCATCAAGCATGGAAGACTGGATCTGGAATTTCCCTTCATACCATGCCAAGTGGCCTGACTTGCTTATGTTTTCTCCTGGTGTGTTTTCAACATTGTAATTATTTTCAGTCAAGTATATAAGTTTTATTTTCTTCAAATTATTGCTTCCTTTTTTTTATCATCAATCTCCTTAAATGTTTGGAAAATGGTAATTAAGTTTCTTGGTATTACAGTAGTACTTCTTATTATTCAACGCTGGAAGGATGCTGCTGCTAGTTAGCTGAGGTAGGTACTGCAACTGAAAATACAAAGCCCAGAATTAGGTTCAAAACCATGCCATGCATTTTCTTCATTATTTAGAATACATCAAAAAAAAAAAAAGATAATTACATAACTTTCTCAGCACAGAAATACTTTCTTTGCACAGAATCCAAGAACTGAGAGAGGACAAAATGTTTCCATTTGGTCTGCTTTTCCTTATAAAGGTTTATTTTATATTGAAAAGCAAAAGCATGCACATTAAAGATTCATAAAATATGAAAAAGAAAAGCAAATCTACATATTAACATTATTGGAAAAAAGCATGGGTTTACAAGGGTTGAGAGCTTGCTGGGACCGTAGGAATCATTTAAACCAATGCCTTGTCTTATAGCAGAGAAAACTAGATCTGGAGCACCTAGGCAACTTGCCCACTTACTCCCTTAGTTAAAAAGGCAAGCCAGCCAGGCATGCACGTGCACGTGCCTATAGTCCCAGCTACCTGGGACACTGAGACAAGAGCATCACTTGAGCCCAGGAGTTTGAGATCAGCCTGGGCAACATCGCAAGATCCCACCTCTAAAAAAAGGCAAAACTGCTTCCTTCGAGCTTCTGGAAAGTGTTTGAATGTATTGTCAATGTCAAATGAAAGTAAGGAGAACACATCTATAATTTTTATATCATACTATATGGCCTTAGGTATCTGAAAAGAGGATATTTTTTAGTACTTTTAAATCAAACCGTTGAATCCTTTAGGACTTAAAAAAGCAATACACCAAATAGTGGGGTTCCCCTATTCAAGTAGAAATATGTCCATCAAGATCCTTTGCTCTTGAATACAAAGTAACAATAAGAAAAGGAGTAACTATGGGTGGGAGTGGGGAGTCTATTTCTGGTCTGTTTTGCTCCCTGGATCATATATGATAGAGAATAAAATAAAACAGTTTTGTGGTCTACCTTAGGGCCTGAAGTTCATGCTGTATCTGTTCTTAATGGACTCTTCACCCTCTTCCCTCCTCTGAACCTCACACACACCACCCAGGTACTTACTGCTCGGGGTGTTAGGCAGTGGAGGCTGCAAAGGGAAAGGCTAAGGCAAGATAACAAGAAACTTAATGTAAGGCCATTTTACCCCTTTACACCAATCAAGATTCTTCACAGGCTCCCAGTGAGCAGTTCGGATGCTATTCTCTGGTTTAAAGTGCTCTTCTGCTGAGATCACTGAAAGCACTCATCAAGGTACTTGCCCTAGCCAACTCCGACAATAAAGGATCAGGGAGGAAAACGGTTCCTTTTTTGTGTAAATGTGGAATGTTAACACCGAAGGTGAGCATAACGGAGAACTGATTCCATCTTCCAAATCAGAGTATGCTCAGCTGGACCCACACTCAAGCACCTGGCTGAGACCTGAGCTCATGCATGCCAGAACCCTGGCCCCTGTATGGCAGCAGGAAACAGCTGGTCAAGGACACCTTTAGGATTCAGAGAGAAGGGGCCTCAGGTGGCAGATATTTCTGGGGCCCTGGTTGATAGACCTGTCTCCTGGTGTTAGAATGAGGGTACTGGAACTGCAAGCCACAATTACCACTCTCAAGTCTAGATTCTGACTCTCTGTACCAGGTGGCAGGTATAAGATCATTTGTAACTGTAACCTTGGATGTTTCTGTAAGGCAGTGCACCATTTTTACCCCAGGCAGGTGCTTTTGGCTCTGTTTTAGGGTCTTCCTTGTTGGTTTTTCATGTTCTTTTGCCAAATCCCCTATTTCTCTGATGCTGTCAAAATATGGGTGCTGCAACAGCTGTTCACATGTCAGTCTCTCAACAGGGTCCATGTGGAGGCAGCCCTAAAAGAACAGAAAATTCCCTCTTCTTACTTCTTTAAAATTGTATTAACTTATTTTAACTTATTAATGTCATTTTTTTTCTTCTTTGAAAGATTAAACTCTTCAGTTGGAAATAAGAGGTAAAAAAAAGTGGGAAAAACCCACCAGTTACGATTTTAGTTCTTTCCACAGTCATTCCTAAATGAGTACCCACATAATAAATAGTTTCTAGAAGTAGTAACAGAAAATCGTTTTCTCTACCTTATTCTTCTTCAGGCAGTTGGTGTTCTGTCCTGGGAGAGTAGGATACAATTTTGGAGTTTACCTCAGTGGCCAACTAGGGTTGTCCACTTAGCCACTTTAGTCCCTTGATTGTACTTTGTAAAAACTAGTGTGTTTATTTAAAAAATAATATTTACACATGATACAAATAAAATTAATACAGTATACAGCGAAGTCTCCACCACTCTAGGTCTTCTGTTCCTCCTTCTGAAATCAGCTGCTCTTTTTTTTGAGGGGTAATATATTCTGCCAGAAATAGTCTATGTGTTACAACCATATATGAGTATGTATGTAAGGAGGAACATAATCTATATGCCTTTATATTACATATTTTTTAACTATTTGCCATTAAGTAGATCATAGGGCTTATACTTGGGTAGATTAAATCTCACGGCTGCATACCCCAAGGAACTGTCTCAGTTTTTTTTGTTGTAAATGCATCAGTAAATATATTAAATAACTTTTACACTGTGTGGAACATTGACTGTAACTTCCAAATATTTTCATTGGTACCATACCTCATTTTACTTAAGAACTATATTTTTAAAATATATAAATCAAGTTTTAAAATCAAAACATACTTCAGATATACTAGGGAGTTGGCTATTTAACAGGATCCTACAGCTAAGTATTTTGAAGAAAAGGAATACTTTGTAAAACAAACACCACCCCCTGAAAATTTCTATTTTGTATAAATTTAGATTTCAAATATAATATTAGGTTTATTTATAGTGAAATACTTATGTTTTCACTGTAATAGAATGTGATTCATTTTAAAAACTGAAGATTTTTTTAAAGGAGAAGAATTCTAGAAGGAACAATTTTCATTTCATGGATTGACATATGTCATTCAGATTCCCCATTGATGACAATCACTGTGTATTTCCCAGTAGGCTGGAAGCCTGGATTTTACCTTCAAGAGCCCCAGGGCAGGATAAGAGATGTTTGGGAATTTTAATTCAAGTGGTTCCTGTTGAAAAGAAAAGGGGCTTTTAATTTACAGCATGTATTCAAATTAAGGCTACCTCAGATTAGATTTCTTCTGAGTAGGAGCCTCTTCCTGGCACCTTCTCCTCCTCCACCCTCTGTCCACCACACCTCCCACGTGCAACACCCTCCCTAGGCTTGTTTCATAAGCTCCTCCTCTCTCCACTTCTAAATTGCTTTTCCAAATTTACTTCCTAACCATTCCCCTTCACTTCTCAAAGAACAAATTATACCTTCTCAAAGGTTACAAATTATAATATTAATGAAAGAAAAAAAATACACGCTGAGCAGTTCTTATTTCAATTTTTTTTTTGCTTCAATTTATATAACTTGCCTTTCCAGAGAATAATTTTTGGCATTCGCATTGGCATTATAAAAAGGCAGTCCTAATTACTGCATTTATTGACATTTTATGTAAAAGGAGCTTTGAAGTAGATTTTTTTCCCCCTACCCAGGTGAACAGATGCTTCTTGGTTTTTTTGGAATAAACACTGTTGTCTCCTCCCACAAGAGCCTGCAGTTTCCCAATCAGCCTACTGTTCAAAGAATCTCCCTTTGGCCATCTAAGGCTATTTTGCTCCAGTCACCTGCTGGAGACACTGGGTTTTACAATAACACTATAAATGGGAGGAATGCCGAATGTCAGGCAGACTGGCCAGTTAAAGAGGTAGACCACTGGCAAGGGCTGAGGAAGGAAGCTGAGAAAATAAGAAGAGGCTGCCAAGCTGAGCAAAATAAATGACCGCAGTGCACTGTGTGTATAAAGATGGCAGTGTGTGAGCTGAAGGCTGCAGTGCAGGCCCGGCTCATCTAATGAGACACAGTCTGGCGCTGTGGTTAAGCTTCAGAGCACAGTGTTATTGCGGACAGGGAGCCAGCTCCCAACAGCCAGTTCTGGACTGTGCACATACTAATCACTGATAACAGAGAGAAAAGCCTCAGTTTTGGAATTCTCTACGTGCAACAGGAGAAAAAAAAAATCCTAAAGCAGATTTGCATCAGCCCTTGGGAGTAGCCTTCCCCCCAGCCTCCATAGCTTAATATTTCTCTTGCTCTTTCTGTGTGATGCATCTGAGCACCACTGGGGATGACTGTGCCACTGCTAACAGGCTCTGCTGGCTCAGCAACAAAGCCTGCGTGAGGCCGGCTGGTTGGCTGTGATACGCAGAGGTCCATCCTGCCTGCTGAGCCAGTTTCCCAGCCCCAAAAGCAAGCAGGTCTCCTTGGTCAGGGTTACTGACCAGCAGAGGGACTGGAGCACAGATGTTCAACACGCACAGCCACAGCACTGCTTCTTCCTGTGTTTCTGTCAACAGGAAATCTCCTGCAGGACAGCCTCTGGGAAACTATGGGAAGCTTTTTACATTCACAAAACCAGGGCTGTTCCTGAAGCTTCACCGGTAAACAAGCGAACAGGAAATCACTAAGGGATACTTAGTGCGGAACTAGGAATGTCCAGGTCACAAGGGAGCCAGATGGGTCACCTCCCATATGCCAGGTGTCATTCCTGCCTCTGTCCCAGCATGACCCACTTTTCCGAATGCTGGTGCTGCAGGACGGAGAGGCAGTGGGGAAGCGGAAGGCTTCGCTGTGGGACAAGCCAAGAGGTTGAGGGAAGAGGCAGAAGGCAAGTGGTAGGGACAGACAGAACTTCCATCTGGAAACTGAGCAACCTGAGGGGTAGCTTCAATTTGAAAGCACCTCCCTTAGACAGCAGAAACTCAGGATTTCACAAACGTTAATTATGCTCTGAATGTTTTCTTTTTCTTTTTCTTTTTTGAGACAGTCTCTCACTTTGTTGCCCAGGCTAGAGTGAGTGCCATGGCATCAGCCTAGCTCACAGCAACCTCAAACTCCTGGGCTCAAGCAACCCTGCTGCCTCAGCCTCCCGAGTAGCTAGGACTACAGGCATGTGCCACCATGCCTGGCTAATTTTTTCTATATATATTAGTTGGCCAATTTTTTTCTATTTATAGTAGAGACGGGGGTCTCACTCTTGCTCAGGCTGGTTTCGAACTCCTGACCTCGAGCAATCCGCCTGCCTCGGCCTCCCAGAGTGCTAGAATTACAGGCGTGAGCCACCACACTCGGCCTCTCTGAATGTTTTTGATTATAATACAAGCTCATTAGAAGATACTCAAAAATATAAAAAAATCATAAAGAAATAAAAAATTGTCCCAAAATTCTACCACAAAGAGATACCCACTGTTAATGTTTGGGTATATATCCTTGGAGCCATTTATTTCACAAATGTAAAAAGCTTTGCATGACTTCCCGGAGTTTGTCATATTATTTTGTATTTGTATATGTAAACATATGTGTGTATATATATATGCATTGTATATTTATTAAATTCTTATAATTATGTCAAGTTATATGTATTGCTTAATACAATTTTTTTCATGTAACAATATGTTGTGTACTTTTTGTTCAGGGGGATATATAAAAATCGAATTATTTTTACTATGTGGTATTTCTATTGTAAGGATGTAGTATAACTTATTTAATTAATCCCCTACTAATGAAACACTAAAGGAAATGACTTCTACTAAACAATGCCACATCTTTATGCTCTTACCTAATGGCTTCATTAGAATAAACTGTTGGAAGTGGGTTAAGGGTATGAACATTTGTAATTTTTCAGTTTTTCATAAAATGGGTGCTTTTCCCACATTGGTCATAGAGGACAGGCACCAGAGTGAGGCTGGCCAAGTAAGTTCATTATGGTTTTCCCCGATGGGCTGGGGAGTGAGAGCACAGTAGAAGTAGGGAGTTTGGACAATGCTGGGGGAAAAGTAGTTAACGTTTCCAGGATTGGTCAATGTCTAAAAGTTGATTGGCTCTACACTACTAGGTTCAACTACTGCAAATGATAAAGGACAGGTGTGGCTCAGGCAGGCAGCTCTGCATTCCTGTCCAACAGGCTGGCTGGACTCTTATCAACAGCCTCTAAATTAGCACCGAAGGCCACGGTCTTGCTAACCAATTTGTTCCAATTTTCTTTTTCACTCTTAGACTGACATTCAATGCAGGGAGAGCCGTGGGGCTCAGGCAGGTGAGTAACCAGCAAAATTTAGCTAGCCTGGCCTGCAGACCTCGCTCCAAAATGAGTCACTTACCATATCTTCAGGATCTGGAATTTTCACCCCACTGAAGTACTGATTCGTACTAAATACTTGCTGGTGCCTAGGGATGAGATCCCCTTTGGACAAGAAGAAAGGAGGAGGTAAGTGAGACTGGTTGACAAACACTGATCTATGGTTTCCCTCCATAAGTGCTGTGTCCATCTGTGCCTACGACTATGAAGGCTGCAGTTTCTTTTGCAGGTGGAGGGAGAGGAGGCATTCCAGCAGCCAACAGCAGCCTGCACCGATCCCTACAGTGTTACGCACTGTCTTACGCATGTAGGAGGCAAGCAACAGAACCTGAAGGCTACAGGTTTCTTGCCTGCCGGGCTTACATTATATTAATATTTGAGGAATCCAAACCAAACAACTCAGAAGCACATACACACACAAACAAAATATGCCTTTAAAAAAAAAAAACAGCAAAAGTGCAGCAATCACAAATCAATATCGTATTAACTGCATCCTGAAGGGATAGAAGGGTACGGGTCTAGTATTTACAATAGTGCCTGACACACGGCAAGCACTCAATAAATGTTTAAGGAAGGGAGGGAGGGAAGAGAGTGAAAGAGGAAGGGAACAAATCATGAAAGATTTTCTAGCTAGAAGGAATAAGTTTCCAGCATCGAACCACCTTTTCTTGTTTCACCAGTTGTGATCACTTGGAAATTTCATTTCACCTACTGTTTAGAAGCACTTACGAGGTAAAGCAGTAAAACGAAAGTAGCATTTTTATGTTCCAGGGGATTACATGAAGCTCATCCTGCCCACATTTCAGCCAAATCACCTAAAATCACTCTCATGTAAAATTCTAGGGATATTACACTTGAGACATTTTGTCCAGAGAATAGAAGGAAATATTCAGCAGAAGGGTTCTCTTGGGGCACACCCAGGCCCACTTCCCAGGGCAGAGTGGAAAACAAAAACCTCTTACAGAGGTCCAGACATGTTGCAATTGGACTGGGCGAGAGTTCCTACCCCGAGGTATCAAATTGTCTAAGTTTACTGGTTTGTTCTGGAAGTTTACCTCTCACTCAAATCCAAAAACTGCGACCTCACCCTGTTTTGGACAAGTAACGAAAACATACCCCTTTGCCCCAGACTCCAGTGAGCTGCATCATGAGCACAATTCTCTGCACTCCCATTGGTGCTAGAGGGGTGACATGGGGAGGGTGTCCTGAAATCACTGGAGAAAACATGGTGAAGGAGGGCTGAGTGCCTCTGGAAGGGCTACAATTCACTTTACATGTCACTTGACAAAGTCAAGCTATCAGCAAATATTTACTGCCACAACCTGCAGATGCTGGTGGAGGATAAGGAGAAAGATAAGACACGATATCACCCTCAGGTAGCTTACAGTGTCTTTGGGAAGATAAGAGTACATGGCAAGATGCAGTGATGCCAGGTGCTGTAAGAGTTTAGAGGAGGAGAGGTTTGATTTAAATTGGAATACTCAGGGGAGTAGAGTCTAAACTCCCTGACTTTGGAAGAGGACACTCACTGCTTGCAGATCTTTTTATCTGTCTCCCACCTTCCCTCCGCCCCCTTCTCTCCTGCCCCTGGCCTCCCCTCCAAGGGTAGAGAGAAAGGAATGGGCATTAGGGTGGAAAAGCAAGACTAGAAGACTGGTGTGATAAGAACCAGCCTTTCTTCCTGACACTTAGAAGGGTGACAATCTTCCTTTTAATAATCCTAACTAGTCAGGCAGGCTGCAGTTAAGGACACCCAAATGAATTACCACACCATGATAAATGAAATAAACCCCGAAAGCATTCTGTAAACTGCTAAGCCCTAATAGAAAGGTGAGTTTTTATTGTTGCTATGATCATTATTCAGGGTTTAACTTGATCCAAACTATGTTCAAGTTATTAGTACTCAATAGCTGTCAATTATTTTTATTAATCCAAACATGGACATCTTTAACTGAGTCATTTAAATGAGGCTTTGACAGTTTCCCTCTTTCCTAACTAAAGGGCATGAGACCAGGAACTTGCTTCTGCCCTGGACCAACGTGGGTGAAACTATCCAGTTTCAAAAAAAAGGGGAACAAAAACACCACTTACCCAAGGTTTTCCTAATCAGATAGAGCTGATCCACATCTGATTTTCCTGGCCACAGTGGTGCTCCCGACAGCAGCTCGGCAAAGACACAGCCAATTGCCCAAACATCTACGGGGGCGCCGTACTGCGCGTCACCCACCAGCAGCTCTGGAGAGCGGTACCACCTGGTAGCCACATAGTCGGTGTAGTAGTCACTCGGTCCAGCTGGCAGGGAGGACCATGGAAAACAGAAAGAGCACGGAAAACCCAGAATCAAAACTGGCAGGGGAAGACCTCAGAAATCAAGCTCGTGCCTAATCTTGTGGCTTTTCTAAATCATTGGTCTCAATTCTGATTGCATATTAAGATCACCCGGAAGATATTTTCAAAATTACTGGTGCTTGGGCCACACACAAGTCCAGTGAAACCAGAATCCCAGGGGAGAGCCTGTAGCACTCAATATAATTTTTTAAGTTCCCCAGGTGATTCTAATCTGCTGCCAAGGTTGAAAACCACTCTTCTAAAGTAGCACTTCTGACAAGTATTATTTTAACAAGAAATGGTGGAAACCAGGGGAGTAATATACTTTTTAATAACCACTTTACTGTAGTATAATTTACATATAGCTTACATATTTAAACCACTGTATGTGTCTACATATTTTCAGTAATGACAAAATATTAGTTTATAGCAAGCATATGCCCTAAATATACAAGAACTAGCTCATTAGTTCTAAAGTATTTAGATCATTTTCTAAAGATTTTAGATCATTTATTGTATCAAGAACTTCTCCATCTTCTACACTTAAGAAAATTCAATACTCACTCAAAAGCCGAGCAAATCCAAAGTCGCAAAGCTTAATCACTGAATGTTTTGTGATGAGAATATTTTCTGGCTTCACATCTCTATGTATACACTAATTACAAAAATCAAAACAAAAACAGATTCTTAAGGATAAACTCTACATATATGGGATAAATAAAACACATGAATATTTAACAAATGTTGGAGGAATAATTTAAATATCTCATTGGCCTGTTGAATAACAGCAAAAGACCAGCCTAAAATAAATCTACTTCTAGGCCAGGCGCGGTGGCTCACACCTGTAATCCTAGCACTCTGGGAGGCCGAGGTGGGTGGATCGCTCAAGGTCAGGAGTTCAAAACCAGCCTGAGCAAGAGTGAGACCCCATCTCTACTATAAATAGAAAGAAATTAATTGGCCAACTAATATATATAGAAAAAATCAGCCGGGCATGGTGGCGCATGCCTGTAAGTCCCAGCTACTTGGGAGGCTGAGGCAGTAGGATCTCTTGAGCCCGGGAGTTTAAGGTTGCTGTGAGCTAGGCTGATGCCATGGCACTCACTCTAGCCTGGGCAATAAGGCAAGACTCTGTCTAAAAAAAAAAAAATCTAGTTCTAGTAGCATACCTATCACAGCCTGAATCATCCTGAATTTCTAAAAGGCCCAAAAGGATCAAGAACAGTGAAAGGAAAAATGAAAGTAGGGTAGCCAGTCTTAGCAAATAAAAATATGGAATACCCACTTAAATTTGAATTTCAGATAAACAACAAATAATTTTTTAGAGCCAGGAGCGGTGGCTCACGCCTGTAATCCTAACACTTTGGGAGGCCAAGGCGGGCGGATTGCTCGAGGTCAGGAGTTTGAAACCAGGCTGAGCAAGAGCGAGACCCCCATCTCTACTATAAATAGAAAGAAATTAATTGGCCAACTAATATATATAGAAAAAATTAGCCGGGCATGGTGGCGCATGCCTGTAGTCCCAGCTACTCGGGAGGCTGAGGCAGAAAGATTGCTTGAGCCCAGGAGTCTGAGGTTGCTGTGAGCTAGGCTGATGCCACTGCACTTTAGCTGGGGCAACAGAAGGAGATTCTGTCTCAAAAACAAACAAAGAAACAATTCTTTTTAAAGTATAAGTATGTCCCATGTAGTATTTGGGATACACTTATACTGAAGAGTTATACTTCTTTATCTGAAATTCAAATTTAACTTGGAACCCTGCATTTAATCTAACAACTCTAGGTGAAAGGGAAAATGTCAAAATGCTTGGGTGAGGCCTGCGTCATGTCTGCAGGAGCTGCAAGTTGGTGCATAAGCAGAATTCACGATTCAGTTTAACTGAGAACAGAACACAGTTGGCCTGTAAACAGGACAAGCCCTGGGCCTCCTGAGATAAGCCGGGGAAGAGAGGGCGGTAACCGCGAGCTTGCCAAGAGATCTCCCTTCCAGCTCTGACATTTGTCCTGACAAGATAAACAAGAGTAGGCAGCAGCCCTCACCCACTGGGGACAGTCGCTAGATGTCAGCTGTGTCCCACGCACATCAAGTGCTCTCAGAGCCGCAGCCACCCCTCAGGATGTGCCCCCCTCTCCATAATTTAGACTCAAATCACCTGTGGTTTCCAGACCACAGCCAACATTCGTTAAAAGGGTGATATTAGAGAGAAAAATGTTTGAGAATCTTCACATGATTTTCTTATTAAATGACAATTTCCTTGGCAAAGAAAAAAAATCAACAACCTAATTAACAATCACATAAAAAAAAAAAAACCACAAAAACAGTTGGTCCAAAATACAGCTCAGAGTTCCTAATAATCTTCCTTTCTCTCAACTTGTTTCCTCTAGGGGTGGGGGGGATGTTTACTCCTGCATCCTGAGAGACCCTCCTCAGCCTGCAACCTAACTTTCTATTAATAAATAGAATCCCGAGAGAAGACAGGGCTTCTTCTTGCACCTGGCCTGTTCCCTCTCCAAGGGAACTTCTGGGTGAGAAATCAGCATCAGTGTCTCCCCATGGGTATTTATTATTCTGGAAAATTGGGGGGCAGGCAATTTTTGAATTAGTTTATTACTATCTATTTGGTTCTCTGTAATTAATAGCTCTGATACCTCTATTCTTTTAACACTGGCTTCACATATTGCTATAAATGGGTACACTCATAAATATCATGATGACATCTGGTCAGAAGTACTTGGAAGCAAGAATGTGCTCCCATTCTTTCTGGGAATTCTTTACAAATTTCTGCACCCTCCCCCATCAGCACATGGAGCTAGAGCATTCTGGGCTCTCCAGGGAGCTGTGGCATGCAGTGCATTTGTCTTTAGCATCTCAGAGCTTCCCCAGCAGGGCCTTCATGCAGTCTCGCCTGCTCCATCATCCTAAAACCTGCTCTTGGGAAAGTACTCACTTTCACTCACAGTAACTAGCAATATGGGCGCCCACTCTCCCTGTTGTACATTTTGACAAGAATGGTAGGCTTCAGCTAAGTGGAGGCTCAGTAGAGACAAGTACTGGCTACTCTTACATTTTCTCCCTCTGGGAATACAGCTTCAGGAGAAATCATTTGGAACAGCACAAGGAAGGAGATTTAGCCCTACCTCTTAAATGGACCCTGGTAGTCAGAAGAATAGCATATTGCCATCAAATTGCACTCGTGGCCAGAATAAAGCTCCAACACTGGAATCTGGTGTCTGTGTGCAGGGAGTGGGCAAGTGGGCAGTGTTGTACTGGAGGTAGTAGTAGGCTTCCCAGCACCTGTGAAGTCACATCACTGGGGCGACAGTGCACTGTGCCTCCCGCCAGCCCAGCTGTGGCCAAGAATGTCAGAGGCTTCCACCAGGCTGCTTGGGTCCAGACTCAGCTCCCGTATCTCACCAAAGCAGACACTAGCACTTGTGTATTGGACGGGGACTCCCCCTACTGCAACTGGCATACTGCAGCTAAACAGGCCTGAGTCACCTGGGGTTCCCCCTCCTAATTTCAGAGCCTTTGAGGGTGCCAGAGCAATAAGACTCCAAGTGAATGGGATTCTACCTTATGTCTGAATAGTTTCTAATCAGTATAAATGTGACTGGTTTCTCCAAATCATAAAATGCATGTTTTATATAGCTTGAGCAAGAAGGAATAGCTAGGTTGGCATTTTTAGCCTCTACTAACCCCAACCAGGCTTATGAAGATTTGAGTAAAAAAAAAACAATACCCACAAAAGTATGATACAAACTTTGTACAAGGCTCCACCTCAGCTTAAGGACAGCCCTCTGATTTCTCAAGGGAGATCATGAGACTTACATTGTGTTTATGGCAAAAATTTACAGCTTGCAGTGTCTGCCAAGTTATGCTCTTCACGAGATGTTCTGGTACCCTGATAAAAATAAAGAAGCAGTACAAACACATTCTTTAGCGTAACCATGGAATTCAGCTCAAGAAAAGAAAAAGTACACCAAGACAGGCTTCCGTGGTGGAAAATCCTAGGTGACACAGAGTCATCTAACTCCTCGAGCAATCAGTCCATGAGTCACAAGTAGAAAGAACATGCGACCAGCATACCACTGAATCCAAGGAACAGCAGGTTAACAAAAAAATGCAGACCTCTCCAGGGAGGAACATGAAAATCCACAGGGATCTTGATGAGTATTTATGACCATCTATCTCAAACATCTGTGACACCCCTGGGAAGCTGCCTGGTAACCTGAGCTCCAGTTCTGTAAAGAACCTTTTGTTGATGTAAAGTTAGTTAATAATATTCTGCACAAAAGGTGCTGTTTCTTTTTTCCAGTTGCTCCAAACTGATGGCCTGAAGCAGGACTCCTCTTCCATGTGTGGGCACATGGTTTCTCCAGACTCCTAGGCAGCATTGTTTCTTTGGGTTTCTTTCTTTCTTTTCTTTTTTTTTTTTTAGGTAATGAAGATTTTATTGACGACAGGGAAGAAGTTTTCATTGCAAACCATGTAACAGAAGTTAATTGTCATTATAGCCAGAGGCATCCTGGTTCTCTCCCCGCACTGCTGCTCTCTGGCAGCAAGCTGCACCGGCTCATGGCTTTCTGCCCTTCCCTCCATCACAGCAAGTAAACTCTGTGCCACTGTCCCCAGCACCTCTTCCCTGACGTGGAGCTTCTTATATAACCAGATAGCCCGGGCAACCAGTAGCGCCGGCAGATCCTTTGTGCAAATTAGAAAAATGTTCCTCATCTCGAAGCATTTTTTTAATAAATATAAGACAATGAGTAAATTGGACTAGAGAGAGAGTGCATTTATTTTCTGAGTGCCCCCACCCCAAGCTGGACTTGCTGTTTTTATGAATCACACAATGTTGTTGTGGTCTTCAGACAAGACTATTAAGTAACCCAGGAAGAAAACTCTTGAGTAGTTGTGTTTAGGTGACCACAGAAAGTCCCTTCTAGCCTCTGAGAGAGGCTACAAGGCCACTGTTGTCACAGACCAGACCTGCAGGAAAACGGAAATCCTTTCAAGCAGATCAGAGGATGTTTGAACAGAGTCGAATAATGTGGGGGAAACAAAGAGGCCACTTCCAGGAAGAATAGCCAGGACACTGCTGGACCAGGACTATGTCCCTGGACTTGAAATGGCTTCTCTCCAAATTCTCTTCCTTGTTCTAGCGGCATATAAACACAGAGGCTGGAAAAACTCACCTGCTAAAAGAGAAGGCCTAGGAAAACGAAGCTAAGATGGGGACACTCAGGGGAACTACACTGAACTACACTGAAGATATTCTTTTTTTTATTCCCCCAGCCTCCAAGCCTTCCACTTTTTTTCAAGAAAAAGTGGAATATATTTTGATTATTTGATACATTAAATATTAATATAGTTATGAGTGCCGGACAACTTTAGTCTCTAAAAACGTTTCCCAAAAGAAATATGCAAAAGGAACATTTAAAAGTAAATTATATCATCATTGATCCACTAATGCTAATAAGCACATTATTACACAATTCTCAAATGTAAAACCTCTGTACAAACTACCTAGTGTCATCTGGAGTTGGCTACCCCACTTCTTTATTGCTCGGTTTCTTCTCTGGAATGTGGGGGCCTCAGACACTAAGATCCTTATTAGCTGCAACACTCTGAGATGAAAATAAGAGCCAGGTTTCCATGGTTGGAGAAGGGAGTTACAGATATACAAAGGGAGAAAAATAGAATATATTGTGTGATGTTGAATTGAAACTGGGTATCTGTATGTATGTATATGCATTTGTGTGTGTGTATGTGTGTGTGTACATACATATATATATATATATAGAGAGAGAGAGAAAACGCTGTGCTGGAAGGGGTGCTATCTTATATAACGTGGTCTAGAGAGCTCTGGAAGCTTAAAGGAAAATCTGAAATAGTGGTTAATGTGGGGAGAAGTGGCCAGATTTGGGCTCTGCTTTAAAAATAGAGCCTCCAGGATGTTCTGAGAGATCAAATGTGAGAGAAAGAGAAGAGTCAAGGTTTTTAGCTTGAGTAACTGGTACATGGTGGTGTCTTTTACTGAGGAGAGCTCTGGAGGTGGAATTGATTGAGGGCGGGGGAGGGTGGATAATTTGCAATCCTTCTTGGACACCCAAGGGAGGACTCTGAGTAGGCAGTTCTGAATTCAGAAGGAATATCAGCAATGTGTACTATCTATCTGGTTGACGGGTACACTAACAGCCCTGACTTTACCACTATACAATTCACCCATGTATCACTTGTACTCTCTAAACCTATTGATACAACAACAACAAAAAAAAAAAAAAGGAAGAAGAAGGAAGGTCAGGTTGGAAACATAAATTTGAAAAGCAGAAGCATATTTATTGATGGTATTTAGAGCCTAGGATTGGATGAAGCCAAATAAGGAGTGAATACAGACAAAAGAGAAGAGTTCCGGGTGAGCTCTGAGGCCTTCAGCATTCAGAGGTCCCAAAGAGGAGAAGGACCCAGCAAGGCGGCCTGGGCTGAGTAGCAAGTGAGTGAAGCCAACACTCAGGAGAATATAGTGTCTCCAAAGCCAACTGAAGAAAGTGTTTCAAAGGGCTTCTGAGTTAAAATGATGGATTTCTAATTTCATTCCCTCCCCAAACCTGACTAGAACTACACTGAAGATATTTTTTATTTTTATATTTTTGACATAGAGTCTCACTCTGTTGCCCGGGCTAGAGTGCCACGGCGTCAGTCTAGCTCACAGCAACCTCAAACTCCTGGGCTCAAGCAATCCTTCTGCCTCAGCCTCCCGAGTAGCTGGGACTACAGGCATGCGCCACCATGCCTGGCTAATTTTTTTCTATATATTTTTAGTTGTCCAGCTAATTTCTTTCTATTTTTAGTAGAGATGGGGTCTCACTCTTGCTCAGGTTGGTCTTGAACTCCTGACCTTGAGCGATCCTCCCACCTCGGCCTCCCAGAATGCTAGGATTATAGGTGTGAGCCACCACAGCAGCCAATATATATATATATATTTAAAGACAAAAACCCATAAGGTCAGAGAGGACAGGAGAAGAGATAACAGCCACACATTTTGGAATCTAGAAAGCAGTTGAATGAATGATAATTGACTTAACAGATCCCAGAAAGCTGAAATCTAAGCCAGGAGAGGGAAGGTGGAAGACTAACCAATTTACCTCCAAAGAATGGTCAAATGGCTCTGAGGAACCAGGAGCTAAGGAGGAGGTGGAAAATCTGTTTAGGAAACAATTAAAACCCTAGATCCCCTCCTCCATTCTATGCCAACAGGGAACATTCTTTCTGCTAACTGGTGGAAGGCTGAAGTTTTGTTTTTTGGAGATGATAAAATAGAGGACATTTAGCATAGTTGAAATTGTGGATACTGTTGTGAAGCCTCAGGCTAATTGCTTTCTTTTAGTTTATGTATATTGCTTGTTTTTAGGAAGTTGGGTTGAGCAGGCCGATGGCAGTAAAGTTTTGGGATGAAACAAAAGGGCAAGCGCATAGGGGCCAACCAATCAATGTAAAAGGCAAGCAGATGGGCACAAGGGGCCAACCAATCAATATAAAGGTCAAGCGCGTGGGCACAAGGGGCCAACCAATCAATGTAAAAGGCAAGCAGATGGGCACAAGGGGCCAACCAATCAATGTAAAGGTCAAGCATGTGGACAGGTGATGCACTTGGGGTATAAAGGACTCCGTCCCACAGTGCACAGGGTCTTTGTCCCAATAGAGGCCGCCGTGTCAGTGCTCTGGGACTTAGACCCTAGCTCGAGCTAGTCAATAAAACTCCTTTTGATGATTTCAGCCTCAGTGACCCTGTCTCTTTGTTTTATGGTACTACAGTTTCCCGCTCTAACACTGTTCTGAAAGCAGGGGATTAAATGACTGCATATATACTAATCATTGAATGCTGGAATTTTCCAGTCCTGTTCCACCACAAGACTCTGAAAAGGCTGGCAGGCAGACTTCACTTTCTGAGTAAAATAGTGAAAGACTTTCTGGGGGAAGCATGGGAGGAAAGATCTGAAGGTTCTGACCTTGTAGTTTCCCCAGCAAATGGCCCAGCCAGATAACCCCACAGTGAAGCTTACAGCTTCCAATAGTTCCCTACTCTTAACCATGAGCACACAGCCACAGGTTATATAATGCCCCAAAACGCCTTTAATAAGAATGTTAGAGACCAGAATAAAACAGGAAAAAGCAACTTAAAAGAAACAGAAATTATGGAGGGTGAAGGGAACATTTTTTACACAGCATTATTATCCTCAGAGAGAAAAGGAAAGCTGTTGTATCCATGACATAAGAGCAGGATACTAGGCCAGGCATGGTGGCCCATGCCTATAGCTCTAGCACTTTGGGAAAACGAGGCAGGAGGATTGTTTCAGGCCAGGAGTTCAAAACCAGCCTGAGCAACATAGCAAGACCCTGTCTCTACAAAAAATAAAAAAATTCAGCTGGGCATGGTCCCACATACCTATAGTCCCAGCTACTCGGGAGGCTGAGGCAGGAGGATCACTTGAGCCCTGGAGTTAGAAGTTGCAGTGAGCTATCATGATGCCACTGCACTCTAGCCCAGGCAACAGATAACAAGACCCTGTCTCAAAAAAACCAAAAACAAAATACGAGAGGACCAATCCAAGAGTCCAACACCCAAATAATAGAAGGTCCAGAAAAAGAAAATGGAGAAAACAATGGATAGGAAATCAAGAACAAAACAATTCAAAAAACCTTTTCTCAGACAGAAAGCACCCACCCAGTGCCAGCATAATGGCTAAAAATCAAGGCCCACTCCTGATTTTCAAAATCCAAAATGATGAGACTGAAGATAAGATTCTACAAACTTCTGGAAATAAAAAAGAAACAGGACTTTAGAAAGGAAGAGAAAATGGAATGATATCAGATTTCTTAGCACTAAGAGATAGAAGGCACTAA